AATATTTGCCTCTCCATCCATTTGTTGTTCTTCAGCATTTTGATTTGGGCCCATAAGCAGTCTAAGTACTAAAGAAATTGGTTTAAAGTTAGCTTATAGATTTATTAGAATCACATAAAAGTTAAATCGAAGTAACAAATGCTTAGAAATTACAATGTAACATTCTTCTTTTCTCAGTATAAACTTAACCCAATTTATTTCATCTACAGCTGTAATATCTATTTGCAGAAAAGTTTTACAAACAATTTTTGACTAGTGCAAATATTCTTACTTCTTCCTGTGGATGTGGGTCATCTGATGTCCAAACCCGTAATGCAGTTACATGAATCTTTTGTCTTTTGCTGAGAAGAAGGATGAAATTCTATTATTCACAAAAGTTATAATCAAGATTCAAATAAAAAAATTCTGCACAAAAATTCTGTTTCTGCAAAATGTGAAACAGTACACAATGTTGGCATCACCATTTTTTTTAATCAATGCATTTTAATTTTGTACAAAATACTTACTTTAAGTAATTTTCAATAGTTTGAAGCAATGCACTGAATTCTGTTTCCTTTTTCTCGAACAGTTCTCTTCCTACCCATGGCAGGGCAGATAGCACCATGAAAACAAACCAGTCAGATCTCACCTAGAAATAAATTACTGAATGTTTACTGAGACATCACCGAAATTTCAGCATCATCTTTATTCCTCATAAATTGAATCAACTGAACTAAATGTCAATGATAAAAAGAAACCCAGCATGGAATAATGGTTTTAAAACAATATGTTTTGAGAAAAAAAATTTTTTTTTCAACTAACTAACATCTATCAATTGTTTTGACAAATTGTGGACATATGTTGTAGTCTATGGGTGTATTCCCAGAGATTTAGATCGATCCAGGGATTAAGATTTAGATCGATCTAACTCCCTGGGGGTTCAAGCTAAATTGCAGTAAGCCGAGCGCGCACCATAGTTACCCTCTTACAGCTTTCAGTAGGTGGGACAGACGCTTAAGCCGGCTAAGCTGACAGTAATCTAGTGAGACTCCCCACAGGGATAGATCGATCTAAAAATCTATGGAAATGGGGTGTATTACACAAAACATGAGACTTACTTGTGGAATGTTGTCCTCTAGAGTGACTTCAACAAAGTTGTCAAACATTGCCAATAAAGAGGATGCAACAATCACATGGCAATTCACAAGATCCGATAAGAATCGAACCTGAAATAATCATCAGAAAAAACTCTGTGAGTAAATATACATAGTGGCAATAAGAATTATTAACTTGAGAAATATCGATACAGATATTATCATATTACTATGAGGATGGAGCAACAACTACAACAACAAAAAAATGTTAGTCTTAATGCAATAACTTGGTTATGCAACAAACTGATTCTCAATGGGGTACATTCATAGTGCCAAGCACAAAACAAAGTATATTGTATATTGAAGCAGTGTTTTTACTTACAATCAGTCTTGCATTTTCAAACTGGCAAGTCTTGAGAGATTCTTTAAGATTCCGGACTAGAATCTCAACAAACTGAAAGTGTACAGAAAAATCATAGATAAAAAATTGCACAACCAAGTACATTTAAACAATATTATAATAAAGCATATCTGACTCTATATACAAATTATCCTAAAATTACAATTTTAGCAACCTTAAAGGCACACAATGAGCATTAATTTATTAATTAATTTATTAATTACTTTTATAAACCAATAATACAATTAACAATTTCCCTTAATTACAAAGATGTGCCATAATTAAAACATTTCACCCAGTTCCATAAACCCCTTATTTTCAGTCATGAGTAATGAAAATAGAGAATAATAAGTTTCATGTGGCTATAAAAATGAGAAACTCTGGACTAGGGTATATATATATTGTAAGTTGTAACATTCTAAACAGTTTTGGATAAACCGTTCTGTGATAATAAAGAGAAACTACTAAAATTTCAAGTTAACTCATTGTGACAATGTTATTATCTTAAATGATGACAGATATTCACATCAAAATTCAGTAACAGAGACAATATGATGCTTGAAACATACATAACTGTTACGCTATATAATGTCCTTTAAATGTCTTAAAATTTACTCACCTCACCTCCACAGTTGTAGTTTCTGGCATTTAACAACCCAACCAATGTAGTATACACTGACAGCTTCTCTGGTAAATCCGTAACACTAAAATTAAATAGGTATCATTTACAGTGATTGCGAAAGCCGTCGGACCACGGCCATATGCCGGCAAAAATTCTGTGGGCTGGAAAACCCTTTTAACTCATCGGCCCACATGTCCGACGGACTAAAGTCGGTTTCTCTAACAGACACCTCACTCATATTTGAATTTATCGTAAAGCTCTAAGTACGCACTGTGCGCAAGTAAAACTTTAACTTGCGCCATACTGGCGCGTTTTGTAATAAAGGTCTACGTACATTATGATGTCACTTGAAGTGTGCGTAGCGATGGTGTGAGGGCTGACATGTGACCCGTTTCACAAAAAAATGTATCGAAACTGAAACAACTACAGGTCAATGAAAATCGTATTGCTCAAGACTGAAAACAGGCCGCTCAACCTGCTTACGACTGGCCACGCGCGGACCTCTGAGAACACTTAACTACACGTGCTGGGTAAACAAGTATGGCTTCCGTCGGACTGCATGTTGAGTAAACGATAAGTGAAAAGGAGAAATATTCATTTGCTTTTTAGATGGGTGCTCTTAACTAATTTTAACGGATATTTTAAGTAATATTGCGCCTTAAACGGTGCTATATGTCAAAATGAGGGACAACATCATTTTCCATGTGGAAAATCCGCAATGGCACAGTCAGGGTGCAAAACTGTCCATTTTATTCATCTAAACTTCAGTCTAAACGAACTAGCTTAGGTATTGAGTAAAAATTCTTTTCAGACTCTGGCCCGTAGCCAGGGATGGTTCAGGGGTTTCGAAAGAACCGCCTCTTATGCTGACAAAAGGTCCACTCTTGGTAAAATTTGATCTAGGTACTTGGCGTTTTTATGGAAAAAGACCCTCCCCCCTTTTAAAATTGCTGGCTACGGGCCTGCTATGAGAGCAATAGCTTTATTTAACAATAAAAATGGGATTTGTCTACCTTTTCCATGTAGTGCAATTATTTGGCATAGTGCAATTATCAATTCTGAAGATTTTTCCATTAAGTACTGTACAATTTTTTCAGACAGTATGTTTATTTTGGAAGATTTTTCCACACACTACAATTATTTAGAACTTCAGAGTAGTAGCATTAAGCCTTTTTTCATTGATTTTAATCATATAAAAAAATAATGAAATACAATGAATTTTCTTTAAATAATTCACGGCCCACATTTTTAAAAAATGGCCCACTTTTTTTGACCAAGTGGGCCAAAATGGCCCGACCAGATTTTGACCCAGGACAATCCCTGCTAACAGACAAGCATTTTTCCAAGAGTGAAAATCTAAAAAACGTTAGAAAAGTTGGAAGCTCCACTTCACTATGACTTATGTTTTAATTTTAGTCAAAAATTGGAATAAAATTTACAAAGGATACATGATCTTGTGTTAAAAGATTAGAAATTAAGATGAGCAACCCAGATGTAAAAAGGATAAACTTAAATGCACGAAAAACAAACAAAATGAAAGACGTTTAAACTTAAACCTTTAAATATCCTATTACATCTGGCCTGAAAATTAAAAAGCCAGACAATAACATTCATCAAAAATAAAGTGAAAATATACAGCTTGATTATTTTGTTGTGGGCCGGTAAAAAAAGGTGTGGGCTGACAAAATTTAATTTGCTCCAGCCCACATGTCTGGTAAGTGTTCAATCTCTTTCGCAATCACTGCATTTAGTTGCATAAGATACAGATCTACTTAGGCTAATTTTTGGTCAATCCAACAAAATAGCATTATTGTTAATGTTATGTTTTCACATAATATAAACCCTATGTCAAGCTGTTTGAAATATAATTATCTTATAGAATCGATTGCAGAATGTACCATAAGGTTTTATTAAGCTAAAATTCATATAGGACTACTTAAAGGTCTTTCAACTTTTTAAGAACTCATACCATTCACAAAGAATTTTGATAATCTTGTGTTTGTAGTTTGGTAAGTCTGCCTCAAGGACACTAGCAAGACCTTCAAGATTACTTTCCAATGAAGAAGTACTCTGAAAAAAATCAATTTAGATTTATATAAAACACTGTATTGTCTAGGTAAATTATAAAACTCTGAACACATTTCCTTTGAGTAATTATAACCCCAACACTTTTCAGGTACAAATTATAACTGCATAGCATGAATATTAAAATTTTAAAAGTCTATAAATGAATAGCTGAGTTGAGCGACTGTTTGTTTTACCTTTTCTCCCACCCTTGTTATGAGTGATTCCAACCTGTCTTCAATATCTGTGGGCCCCGAGGTACGCCGTCTCTTGTGAGAACGCCCTACAAATAACATACATGCATCAATGACAAAACTTCACTGGCCACTGAAAAGGTAATCAGATCACAAAAAAGCTGTAGAGTTATCTTCTTTCAACAAAACTGACATACAAAACAAATGCGAACCTTTGTCTGTAATTTTAATTCAAACTATCAACCTGTATTTTACAATTCTCGTTTTAGCTGATGGCATAGCCACTACTGATAAGCAGATTTCTTGTATTGAACACTCTTATTCTTAGCAGAAAATATGGTTATTATCATTTTTAATTCAAAAATACACATGCGCTCTTTCAGGAAAAGCGACTTGGATCCTAGTGATAATGAATGGAAAGCGCTTTTCTTGTGCCACTGCTGTTAACTAAAATTACAGAGTGCAGACCCACTAATGAAAATGGCAGTCACTAGCATAGAAGTGCCTTTTTTATATCTGTTATGCTGAAAGCGCTCTTACCGTCCTCTTCGTCACTATCATCACTAAAAGCACGCCGGCGAGACATTTTCTAATTTTGAGTCTCCAATATGGCGGTGTGTACACACTACAGCAGTACTGCAGCAAATACTATTTTTGGCGAATCACAATCAGTTGACTCTTGGGTCCAAAGTTCAGCCTCTTCAACCAGGCACTTTATGAAAGGAAAGAAACAGCAAAAGGTATGAAACGTAGTGTGCAGACTTAGAGATAATTTCAAAACCGTTGTTTTGACGAAGGCCAGCAAGACAATGTAAATTAATGTTGCTTTGTGTCAAATTGCGAACGTGAAAATATAACGTTACAATATTAATGTACATACAACTGGACTGGTCTCGTACATGTACCAGTGTACCAGGTACATGTATGTCAAGTCACAAGTGAGTCTGCAAATTCCTTGCGTGGATGTAGAGGCAAAATTAGGTGTGCAGAAAACTTATTCTAACAAAAAAGCAGTTTTAACTTATTCACTCTCATCGAATATCTCAAAGCAAGGTCTTCCTCTGTTCCTGCATTAAGTGAAGCATGAGCTGCACCACTGAAGTAACTGCACCCCCTTACTTACATAAATTTTGTACAGGACAAAAAAAAAAAAAAAATACATAAGTGTTATTATTTTTCATACTAAGACTTAAAGACATATTATTCTCTTCCAGTTTTAAAATGGCTGTCGTTCTGAGAACAACCCTGGTGAGGCACTTAACCAAGAAAACACTTTTTGCACAAAGATGGGTACCTCAGGCGCGAACAGCAGCAGCAGCAGCAATAGCAAGTACAGGCAGCTATGAATCTGTATTGACATCCCATTCAAAAATTTTAGACAAAAAAATGATGTCAACCAAGGCAGTCCTTGATCCTGCAAAGCTTCGTGACACTTGGGAAAAGCCATCATTTGACATAGACAAAATGACTTCCCTCTTGGACCACGACAACCACGATATGAGGAAGAAATTCCGCGAGTACCTTTGCAATGATCCAGATATCATCCCAAGGTACAATATTCCCTTGCACGAAGAAAGAGAACAAGCCCTGAAGAAGCTGAAGAGGATTTGTGATCTAGGCTTTATTTCAGTGCTGGACTTTGTAAACAACCCCTTGCGTATCTTTGCAGCACATGAACTTGCTTCCATTATCGATCCTGCCACTACCACCAAGATGACAGTTCAGTTCAATCTGTTTGGAGGCACAGTCCTGAAATTGGGAACAGAAAGACATCATGAAAAACTTGTTAAAGGTGATACTTTTGTCTAGTTATAGCTGATCATGTTTTTAGTACAATGTAAAAATTATAGTTTCTTGTTTTTTTTTCTTTCTTGTATTATTTACAAAAAGAAAAAAAAATTCAACCATTGTATAATTGAATAAAACCTGACATCAACCCACTTACTTTATAAGAAACTTCAAATGATCTGTTTCAATGTTCTGTACATGTACAAACAAAAGAAGGGTTTTTGGATTTATGAATAATTATTTTGTCTGTCCGTAGTAGTTAAGCACGACATGTATCTAAAACCTCTATTTCAGGTATTGACACACTGGATGATGTTGGATGCTTTGGACTGACAGAACTTGGCTATGGCAACAATGCTGTGGAGATGGAAACCACTGCCACATATGACAAGAGCACTCAAGAATTCATCATCAACACCCCAACACCTCTAGCTCAGAAGTACTGGATCACCAATGGCGCTGTTCATGCCAAGCACTGCGTGGTGTTTGCGCAATTGATAGTGGAAGGTGTGAACCATGGGATACACGGCATCTTGGTGGACATCCGTGACAAAAATTTAAACACTATGCCCAACGTATTGGTAGAGGACATGGGGTACAAGATGGGGCTGAATGGAGTGGACAATGCCAAGCTGACTTTCAATAATGTGCGAGTCCCCAGGGTAAATCTGCTGAACAAGTATTCTGATGTGAGTGAGGTTGGTACTTTTACAACCTCCATCAAGAGTAACAGGGCCAGGTTCCTGACTGTGGCAGACCAGCTGTTGTCAGGACGTATCTGTATTGCTAGCATGAGTGAGGGGGCAGCCAAGGCTGCCTTAGCCATAGCACTCCGCTATGCTGCCTCTCGACTGGCAGTGGGACCCAAGGGGAAATCTGATACTTCAATCCTACAATATCAACTCCAGCAAAAAGCACTTCTTCCTCTGCTGGCTCGCACCTATGCCATCAACTTTGGATTGGACTATGTGAAAGATCGCTGGGCATTCCAAAACCCAGATGGCTCAGAGCATGCAGATGTGGTCATTATGTGCTGTGCAATTAAACCACTGGCATCTTGGAACCTGGAAGAAGTGGTATCTGTAAGCAGGGAGCGTTGTGGTGGTCAAGGGTATTTGTCGTGCAATCGTTTTGGCACTTTCCTAGGCCTGGCCCACGCTGCCATGACAGCAGAAGGGGACAACAGCGTGCTGATGCAGAAGGTTGCCAAAGAAGCATTGGCCAAGTTTAAACCAGCTAAATTGTCTCCACCAGGCTCAGAAGACCTCTCCAATACTGATTACTTGCACTACTTAATGCAGAAGAGAGAAAATACAATGTTCATGACTCTAGGATTGAAAATGCAGCAAGCTGGAAAAGAGGGTTAGTGCACATAATGTTTTGTTAAGAAATTTCTTATTATAATCCACATCAAACTGTCACAGGGATTTGGTAACGTGATTGGTTAAGTATTATTTTTGCTAATTTTGGTTGGTGGTAGAAAACTAATGTTAATATTTGTATCATCAGTAACTGTCAAGTAAACAGTTATATAAGGAATATGTAATTTACAAATTTTGTATAGATCGATGGTTTCATTCATTCATTCAACCATTCATGCATTATTCATTTTAGGCATATTTGATTCCTGGATGTATGACTGCAGTGACCTGATCCAAGGAGCAGCTCGGGCTTATGGAGAGCGCCTCATCAGTGAAAGATTTGCTGCAACCATCAACGAGTCTGATTCCTCCCTCAAACCTGTCCTCTCCAAGCTCTATCACCTCTACCTAATAGACATAGTAGAGAGGAACCTTGGGTGGTTTATAACATCTGACACACTCCCTGTAGCCATGGCCAAGGAAGTGAATGCGGTCTCAGCAGACCTGTGCAAGCAGCTTTCCCCACAGTCCCTAGCCTTGTGTGATGCCTTTGCCATTCCAGATCCCATGCTGTCTGCACCTATTGCTTTGGACTGGGTCAAATACAATGAGGTGGACAATCAAGGGGAGGTGGTTTGAGGATAAATAATAAGGTTTGTATTTGACTGTAAAAGGAAAGCTAACAAAAGCAAGCTATAATCTGTTAAATTGGTCAAAGATATTGGTAACTCAAAATAGACTGTTTGTGAAAGAAATGTCTTTAACAGTGCCTGGCAGTATGGATTTGTTTTCGTATTTGTATTATACTAATAATGTTTTTAACTGAAAGGTTATTGCATTTCAGATGCTTAAAGCAGATATAAGAAAAGGCATGACTAATAGATGGTCCAGTTTGATGAATGGTTCTGTAGAGAAAGACAAAGAAGACAAAGAAAAACAAGTCAAAATTTATATTTGAACTTAAAAAAAAACTCGTCAGGTAGTTGTATCTAAGATGAATTCAGGTATGCATGAAATGCAGTGTTATTGACCAAATGCACAAATGAAGTGCTATACTGTCTTTCAAAAAAGTTATTAGCAAGTTTCACAGCTGAGGCCCTTTACTTGGTGTAATATTTTTTTCTGTGATAAACTAATGAAAACTAAAGTTGGTTTGGAGGAAACTTGATTTGGTAATTGAGTGATGCACTGGTAGAATTTTCTTCAATCAATCACATACAAGGTGCTCTTAAAATTATAAAGTAGGATCAAAATTGAATTATTGCTTGTCAAGGATAGGCTTGCTGACTTCGTTTTATAGTGTTTTCAGTGCATATATACAAATAGATATGCACTGAAAAAGTTTTTCAGTGCATATCTATTTGTAATTGGAGCCTACCTTTACGGTTATTTAGAAAAAAAACAATGTAGACTTGCTTCGTGACTCATGTTGTACATATGTTAATGAACTTGTAAAGATATTGATTCTGATTATTTTAATGTATTCATTCTAATTAATGTAAATATTGTATTCTGAATTAATATTAATATTTTTGTTTGTTTACAACTACTTGTAGTGAGGGTATTTTATATTAAAGAGTGCTTCTTACATAAACCAAAAGCTGAAATGTTTGCAGCCACATGTTTTCAAGGTTGAAAAAAATGCAATTCAAATAAAACTATGATGTTTTTCACATTCCGAGTTTTGAATTCAATGGTGTTATCATATTGCGGGACGTTTTTTTGTTTTTGTTTTTTTTTTCACTATGACCAAGGAGTTATAACTCCTTGCTCTGACCAAGGTTCTTTATTTGGATCTAAAAGTAATTTGGTTAGCGTCATTCAATTCCAAATTCTGCACCCTTAAGTAAAATTACATGCCTGGTAAGGTATTTGGCACATTTTAGGTGGAATCTTACATTGTGCAACACGTAAGTCAAAAGAAACTATTTTGACGACAAAAGTAAAACCGATTTTTGCACTCAGTCAAAATCAATAATTATGGGAACTAGTGCTCAAACATTTATTCACTGAGGCAATCAATACACTGTAAGTGTACAAAGGGGATAACTTTACATGTTCTTGCCTTAGCGACATTCGATGTCGGCCTCATCGCAGACCGAGACACAAAATCCCAAAATTGTGTCCCAGAGAACAACCCGAGACATCAGTTATACAGAGCCATGAAGTCACGAAGCACCTTGGCGAGATCCCTGGCGTAAGTAGGACGGCGACGATCTGTGCGTAGATGGACAGGAGATTCAACCTGAATGCTATCGATCTTTCCACTAAATCGAGAACCATAAGTCATGGTAGAATACCCCCCTGTGAAATAGGCCGCGCGTCCAGGGGCCCTGATACCCGGGGAGGGAACCGCCCTGTATCCCCTTCTGTTGAGTAATCTGCCCAAGCTGTAGTCGCCGCGGAGTAGATGGTCAAAAGTAACGTAATCACGCAAGGAGTTGTAGAGCGATCTGATGGAGGAAAATTGTGGAATTGCATTATTTTCATTCAGTCTTCTTGTTGAGACGAGGTAGCCCAATTCAATCCAACGATTGGGATGACTTTGACCATGAATGTCAATGAACAGACCAGCACCCCTAACGCGGCCATACGCCTCTCTGATAAATGAGTGGTATTCTCTGTACGCCTGCATGGCATTCGGTACACCAAATGCTGCCTCGTTCACTGATCGGTTGGGGTCCATTTTCACTGCAACATAAAGAAAGGCGACAAATATCAGGAAACTGGGACCTTTTCACTGCTATTTCACTAATGTAGTTTATGTTTTGAATTGAAGTAAAATGCCAATAATGCAATACTTCTTGCACCCATCAAGATCAAGTAATTTATCTTTGTCGCTGTGAATTTAATAAGTAGGCCTATGTTATTTCAGTTCGTTGTAGAAAATTATTTTCGAATCCGAGGGGCATGTTAATTTTTTTAGGAAAAAGCCGACTTAAGACGACGTCGATGGCAAATTAGGGCGCATTCAGAACCAGTTGAATATGGCGCGCACATGACAATGGGCTGCCTTCTCCCAGCAGGGGCAGAACAAGTAAATCTCGGTACGCTTTCAAGTGGGTGGCGCCATATCAGCTGGTTCAGAATGCGCCCTTAATTTGATATTCTTTACAGTGTCGCGTTCAGTCAAAAAGGTCTTACTTAAAACCTCAGAAAGCAATAAAAATGATATTTCAGCTGGTTAGGACAAAATTATGACTGTTCAGGGTTGTGAACAGTTATTTAATTAATCATCATTGTTATCATCATTATTATTTCATTTTTTTTCCTTTCGCTTAAATGATAAAAATAAGGCGGCTCGTGCTTTGTCTTATTATGAATAAATCCCCAAGTATCAGTTAGCGATTATTCATCACAACACTTTCTGCAACCTAACTGTTGACCCTTTTCATGTGTCTGTCGTTATAATGGCCTTTTTGTGACAACTTCTGTGACTTGTGACAATAACATTTCGCGCATGACATTTCCGTGTAACAATACCCGTCTTTCATGTGTTGCAATTGGTTACTAACTTACAAAACAGATTGATGTTTTTCCTTCTCTCAGCTCTATGTAATATTCTATAATTATATTCACAAACTAACCATATATATTAGGCCCCATTCAGAAGAGGGGACTAACTAGTCCGAGGGTCAAATATGGCGTCCCACTACAAAGCGTGCCGTCTAATCCGCTAATAGACACTGAATAGATATCCCGTGGGGAAGTATTCAAGTGGGTCGGCCACATTTGGTCTTCGGACTTGTTTGTCCCCTATTCTGAATAGATAAGGGCCTTAGATAAGTGAGAGTCATTGATTCCACAAAAAAAGTGTACTTTGGGTCACGTCAGTAACGGTCAGTGTAATATTTGCATTTTAACTGTTTAATATCACTTTTTTAAATTACTGTTGATTTTTTCCATATTAGAAAGTGCTATAGTATAAAAAGCGAAAATAATGGGGCAAGTCATTTTGCAAAAGTAACACTAAATGTGTGCTTCGCTGACTTGACGTAATTGTTCACTTTCTTGACAGGAGAATGACCCATGAAATCAAATAAAGTAACAATATACTGCTGTTTATTTATATTGGCTATGACAAAAAATTACATATTACCTCTGTGTAGATTGCTGATGATTAAGTGCGGCTTGATGCCGGTCAGTTGCTCCATGTTCTCCCAAACACGTATAGCCAAGTCTCTGGTATTTGTATCTCTTGCAGTGTTTGCCTGGCATCGGGACACATCCGGGAACCCGCACGAATGGCGCCAGACACACCTGGAGCCGTCCCAACAGCCGGCGACCCTATCCGGCATACTTCTTGGTTTGAGGTAACCACCATGGGGTGCAGCTATTATTAATCTGCTATTGTGATCACCTAAGAGGAAAGAATAATTTGAATACATTGAAACGTAATAATTGAAGAAACGGAAGGGATGATAATAGTTTTTTATGGGAAAGTTGCTATCCCAAATCGATCGAATTTTATAACGGTTTATTACATTGAACAGTTACCTTCAATTGAGTAATTAAGCACGGCTAACAGTGAAGGACGGGATGAATTTCTAAAAAAAATATAAATATGAATTAACGATATTTTAAAGAAAACGACGGTGAAAATTCTGTCCAGTCCTATATTCGCCAAAATTTTTGACGTCCAAAATCCTAAAATGTTACGTTAGTTTCAACGTTTTCGCAGCTATTCTCAGTTGTGATTTCCATGCATTTTTTCAGCCATTCCAACTGTAAATTTAACGATTGAAAGCACGAATACGCCTATGTATTCAACCCAATTCAACTGTTTTTAAATAGTTAAAAGATAAAATTTTGAATCGTTTTAAACGGCTGCAAACGTGGCGCCTACTTCAGTTACCTTAGCTGAATGCTAAATAGTAGCGTGTGGGGAAAGGTTAGTGTTAGACCTACCTCTGCTAATTTACATGCGAAAGAAGTAAGAATTGGTAAAAAAAATTGATGTAATCTGGAGATATAGTCAAATGTTTTTTGAAGTAACAATAAGCGATTTATGGACGTTAGACGTGTTACATAACACCGTTTAAGTTTGAAATGGTCTTACACATCTCGCGCCACGTGAGGATAAGAGTAGGTCTTTTTAGTAAACAGCCCAATTTTCCTTCAGAGAAAGGCACAATAGGTAATATTAAATGCCAAAATAGATAGTTTTGACATAAAAAACTATTATTTGACTTACACATCCCATGATTAGACTTCATGAACTGCTTAAAACCTGAATTCGAAACCACGCAAATAGGCTTTTAAACGGTGAGATAAAGTGATGGATTTCGCAACCACCAAATTTTTCAAAACATTAACGTGTTTCGAAACATTGTTTTGAATGAGTGAATGAATGATGTAAAACATTTTGCATCGTAAAAAAACGATCAAACTGTTTCTAAAAAACATTTTGCAGCAAAAGTTCATCGTTGCGTTTAACATTTGTACTTAACTTAAAACTAAACATTTACCTGGGAAGTACTCCACGTAACCGAACGTCCCTTGCAACATTGTTATCACACTTACACCATTACAAAATATAATAAGCAAAAGTGTAATAGAATAGCAAGACATTATCTCCAAGACTTCTTCAACTTCAGGCCTTTGGAATCGGGATTGATCACACGGGACCGGGAAGATCCGAATGTATGCGCTTTAAGAGCGACAAACGAGTCAAGTCACGACAGGTACGAGTTGACAATTTATTAAGTACTGTCTTTGTTTCTTTTCCTCGTTTTTATCAAACATTTGCAATATTTTGCTAAGTTAAATCTCATAGGCCGGTTGCACAGGCTGTCAGGGACCACGGGATTGAAAAAAAAGTGTTATTAGTATTTTTAAAACTTTCAGACATGATGTAGTATTAATTCAGTCAGTGGAAGGTTTGTCTGTTAAATCCACACATGGGAAGCCAAGTTGCATACGTAGCTTTAGGTAATTTTTCACACCTAGCAGTTCAAATGTTAATGTCCTTTGTTTCAAGCTAGTAATCTGTTAGAGCTTGATTACATGGACTTATGTCTGAAGTAACCAATCAGTTTATAAGTTAGGTGATTGACAATTTAATTGATAAAGTTTAGCATAAAAATCTGTGAATCTAGAGAGAGATACAGGAAGAGAGAGGTCATGCTTGTAACATGTAACTTTTGGCTTAGAAAAAATATATATTCTGTTGAAGTTACAACATGGAGTCGTTTCATTCTTTTTCGTGTGCAGACATGGAACCTGGGAATCTCCGTAGCAGTTTTACAGATCCATCCAAAGATGTGAGCCCATTGTGCACAGCCCCTTGGGTTTTACTGTAAATAGTTAATTTTATGTTATGTGGGGCCCGGGATAAGTAAAGTGAACCCCCCCCCCCCCCACCCCACACACACACACAAGTAAAGGGAGGTTCCCCACAAGGCGTGCAGGTTTTTAGTGAAAACTCCTTAGGCTGAAACGGGCCCTGCATTTAACACCCCACCCATGAATAGTCTAGGTTGAAAAAACCGACGCCCAAAGTTTTGATCAAGCGTAGGGCCTACGTGTTTTCATTAATCAAACGTTTAATGATTATAGCTCTAAAATAATAACAAATGTATGAATAAATAAGCAATTTCACTAGCTTAGGACCTACCCTAAACAGATAGCGGCTTGCTGGGAAAATCAGTCAAGACCCAATTATAGGCCTATATATTTGGTTTTTATTAGTCTTAACATGTTGCTATCACTTGATAGTAGCCTACTAGTATAATATTACTATATGCATTAATAGGCATGTGTTTTTCTGCTTTTAGTGACTGGCAGCCGCTGTCTGAATCGTCACTTGCCCGTTGTTCCTTGGCCTGTACACGTCAGTGACATCAGATTAGTGATAATGATACGTGTCATTATCATATGATTCATACTTACTGTACTTGTGGTTCATTATTAGGTTTTTATTTGTTCGTCAGTTTTTACAGCAACGACAACTTGCCTCGTCTCTCCCTCAAATCCGGCTTTAGAGACCCTTTATTTATTGCCCATCGGGCGAGAACCGATAAGAGCATACGAGCAGGCAACATTAATTAATAATGGGATGCAATGCATTGTTCATTGAAAAAGATCATATATTTTTTTAAATGCCTTTAGGGCTACATCTGTTACATCGCGGATAAGTTCGCTTGGAGTAGGCCTATGTAACCAAGGAGTTATAACAGAAGGTTCTGATAACTCCTTGATGTAACTAAAATGAAAAATTAACGGCCTTTCAGTACTAATCGAAAGAAGCTGAAGTAAACTGTAGATGGTCTTGTAAAAAGAATGTACACATCAACTTGAATTTGCTAACTCAAACTTGCCTTCATTTCAAAGCAGCTGTATTGTATTATGTGGAACCAAAACCGAGGCTTAGTTGCGGAATGGATTGTTTAATAAACAAATTCTTCTTGTTGCAGAGAACGGAAAAATTGTCACTGAGCGAAACGGGATCTAACTATTTTTGACCATTTTTATTGGTTTATTTGAGATCCAGTAGTCGTGTGTACCCCAGTAGTGTGATAAATTCGCCTTTAAACTTTGCCTTGGTAAGTTGAAGCTGGCGAATAATCTTCTTAACAAAGGTGTTCAGCTTCACAGTTGATGGATATGCTGACCTAACGAGTACCGTACATGTAGATGTTACCTTGTAGACAAGGCATCCTGGGAGCCATTTCCATTATTCTTGTCATTTTGATAGGGAATGATCATAAAGGTTGGTGGATAGGGACTTATGAGGGTCTGAATTGGTTCAGTTCACTCTTCACTCTCCGCTCTCTCCCACACAGACTACTGGTACTGTATATGATAAATTTATAACATGTCATGTTTACAAATTGTTTCCACTATTTGAGCTATAACATTAAATTTAAAACAGCCTGATTTTACTTTAAATAGGATGTGTAGCTGTGACTAGGGTTACGTAATCCGTTTAAAACTGAAAACATCTTGTAGAACTTGATTACATTTCTTTCTTATGAATAAAATACATTAACAGTTTTATGTTATGTTATTTTAACTGAGATGTTTTGACATTTCTTTACCAAATATTGATATAATTTGATTTAAATTTGGAAGTTTCCAAAATATAATTTGGTCATGAAATAATCATTATGACAGCAGTACTGTTGAGAACTGCCCCACTTATAGAATACTGGGATTGATTATTATACATGTATGGCCACATTCAGAACAGTGGACTAACTAGTCAGAGGGTCAAATATGGCCGACCCACTTGAATACTCCCCCACGGGGAATCTATTCAGTGTCTATTAGAGGATTAGACAGTAAGAAATGAAGAGTTCTACATAGTGACTGCTTCTTGGTTTTGGGTGAAGTGTTTCAACAGTTATGAAAAAACTAAATATTAAAGCTTATGTTGTTCTCATTTCAGCGGAAGGGATGAAGAAGAAGAAACAACAACTGCCTGTCCCCCAATCTTGTGAAGGTAGCACGGATAACTATGTGCAATATATTCCTGGTAAGAACATTCAAAGCGGGCTCATTTTATGAAGCTTTATTATAATAGTAAATGTCACCATCAAAGTATTTTGTGATTTTTACAGAGTGAATTTCATTACAAAGAAAAAGAACTGAACCTGAATGAAAAACAGTATCAGAACTATTTTAACATGCGATTGCTTTTTATTATTCATTGTTATTCATATTTTTTTTCAAGGAACTCTGAATTTAATACTCACAGCTCCCCATGGAGGCCATCTGAAGCCAAAATACATCCCCAACCGCTGTGAGAAGAGATGGAAAGATTGCGAATGCATGTACAGGTCTTGTGAAAACCCAGATCTTAGTATTAGTGTTCACAATGACCGAAAAACACAGGAGCTCACTCTTAGTCTTGCGGAGGAGTTAGGAAAACTTACAGGTGGCAGACCTCATGTTGTCATAAATCATCTCCACAGAAGTAAGTTGTGAAAGGAAAGTTTCAGACTTACTGGAGTTTGTTAACTTTTGTGTATTTATACTAATGTGGAGGTCTTTCCTCTGGCTATACTGTATAAGTTAGACATCCAGTCATATTAACATAAACATAACATAAAATTCTTTTAATTCTGTAATTGACTTAAAATTTTGTCTAGTTGAGAGTATTTCGTCTCCCTCACAGAGACTGTAGCTGGTCTATTGAGAATACTGGTGAAAATATTCTCAGAGGATAATGCAGTGCAATGGGTAGTTTATAGAGTAATAAAAATTACTACTTAAAGAAGGGAAAACACTGTTTTGTGGCTTGTGAAAGATTTATTTGTTGTTCTCCATTGACTTACAAATGTCAGAAACTACTTACAGATTTTTTTCACAGAAACTTGATTCACAAAATCATTCATGTATTTGTTAATTGTAGAAAAGATGGACGGCAATAGAGGCGAGTGTATTGGTTCTTTTCATGTACCAGCATCATTGAGAGCCCACAGACAGTACCATAGTACAATACAGAAAGCCAAACAGAGTATCCGTGGTGCAGGGCTGCTCATAGATATCCATGGCCAGGCCCATCCAGAGAGACTCATAGAACTTGGGTATTGTATTTCTAAAGCTAAACTCAATGCAAGAGAGCTTTACCATGAACATACGTCAATCAGATCTCTGTTTGAAAGGAAGAAGGACAAAGTACATACGTTCTCCAACTTGATCAATGGAGAGGCAAGCTTCGGAGCATTCCTGGAACAAATGGGTTACCCCGCTGTGCCATCAAACCTGCACCCATCACCAGAGGAGGCCCCATACTACCCTGGGGGCTTCACTGTGCAGACCCATGGTTCCAAAAGTGGAGGTCTGATTGATGCTATACAAGTGGAGTGCCCGGCTTATCTTCGTGAAGATGAAAAAAGGGCCGGATTTGTTCATGATTTGGCAGTGGCCATAAAGTCTTACCTGGATGCCTACTATAATGACTGATTAATCTGGACAAATGTTATAAATTTATTTTCAGTTGTTTTTCTTAAAGTTACTAACAGCATTGGCCCAGTTTGTCAGACATTTTAAGGATGTTGGGAGATTTCTATCTCTAATGGTGCTTTTTCTCTCAGTTGTTTTAAATATTTTTGCGCTCCCAAATCTCTGTGGACTGAAATCGACACAGCTGAGATATTTTTGTATTTCCTCCATGCTTGAAATTACTTGGTCACCCCTACAGAATGAAAGACGTGAACAAATACAGGTTGTTTCTTTATAAATATATACTTTTTTGTTGCATTGTTGTGATAAAATAATAAACATAAATTTAAAGAAGATATGGAATGAGATTTTTGCCATTATTTTATATATATATATATATGGTTCGTCTACATGTCGTAAAATGTGTAGAAAAACCTTTCCTAATGTCAGGTTTTCAATCTGATAAAGGTTCTTCTACTATGGATTTGCTTGGACTATGTCTCACATCTATTTTTTTAAGTATTGGAAAAGATCTGACCGTTGACAAACACCCCATTTCCATAGATTTTTAGATCGATCTATCCCTGTGGGGAGTCTCACTATTGCTGATTACTGTCAGCTTGGCTGGCTTAAGCGTCTGTCCCGCCTACTAAAAGCTGTAAGGGGGTAATTAACTATGGTGCCCGCTCGGCTGACTGCAATTTAGCGTGAACCCCCAGGGAGTTAGGTCGATCTAAAAACTTAATCTTTAGATCGATCTAATAGTCTGGATGACTGGTGCTATNCTATACCTATAACATTAGACTTGGGTGTGCACCACTTCAACCCCACTGTCATGGTGGGAAGACCTTCCTTTGACTGGATGACCACGCCTTCCTGGTGATCTGAATAGTAATGATATCATATGCAGTAATAATAATTACAATAATAATAATAGTTACTTAACCAATAGTTAGCAGTACTAGTAGTAACAGTGACTTGAATAGTATAAGTAGATGTAGTAGTAGTAGTCTAGTTCCATTTAGTAATAGTAGTTACTAGTAATTCGATGAAGTAGTAAAAGAAGTATAAGTAATTCTATAACATTCATGAGATAAAACATTTTCTCAGAAAGCTAAACAAATTTTTCTAATGGGGGACACAAGGACTTAAAATTAGCTTGCCTCTCTTGGCAAATATATAACAAAAGATGAAAGGGAGACTTTTACTCTAATAACAAGTAGGGCACAGGGAAGGTAAACTGCTTAGCTTTTATCTTGCTTTGTTCTTTATCCTTTTTTTTATTCAGTTGTTTTAAGGGGGGAGGGGAGGGGGAGAAGAGGGTACCACCAAATCTAAAGGGGGAGGTCACAAGCCTGTTGTCTCAGTAAAAGAAATTCCACTTATAAGACTACAAGTTACAGAGTTCATTGTAATTTCATTTAACCACCTGCAAAAACATTATGTGCCAGTCTCAAAAAGGTCATTATGAGCTGACTGATAACTAATTATTTCTGTGTAACCAAACTTCATTTTTCATGATGGTAAACATTCATTATACCCGATTTCATTATTTCCCTGTGTGCATCTGCTGAATGTAGGAGTTCCACATCATAATTGGCTGATGAACTTGCATTTTGTTCTTCCTGTATAAGATGATTAATGAAATATAAGCCAAATGAAATTTGATAAAATACAAATTTATTTTAAACAAACGTGTTGTACTCGAGTTTTAAAAAAAGGGGATGTAACTTATAAACGTGTTCTTTAAAATGTTATGAAAGATATGTTTTCACTTTTTTAAGAAGCATTTGTAAAAAATTCTGCAAAATTCTTTTATAAACACACTCCCATAAGTTGCACGAATGACCAATACTTGTACTTTAAAAATTATTTCTTCCTCTTAATTTCCATGATACAAATATCATCCTAAACTTTTACCTATAAAAATATAATTTCTCTAAAATTTCCCTCATGCAAATACCAGTCTGATATAATTTTACTAATACAAATATCAGTTTTCCAGCTAAAATTCCACTCATACAATTATCAATATTCCAAAATTTGCTCCTACAAATATCAGTTCAAAAAATACCACCAAAGACACCTTTAACATTTAATCACACAAAGGCTAATTCTAATACTTTCACCATTAAAAGACCACGTTATAAAATTTCCATCATACAAATATCAGTTTCCTTAAAATTTCATCATTCAAAGATAATTTTATAGAATTTCCATCATACAGAGGTGACTTTTCTTAAATTCCCATATACAAAGCTAATTTTCATTTTCCATTCCATTCCAGTTTTCCAAAAAATTCACTTAGTAATAAGTACAAAATATCAATTTTCCAAAATTTGCACCAAACAATTACCAATTTAGTAAAATTTCTCTTACCTTCATGGGAATCCCAGTCACTGTCGTTGAGAACAAATCGTAGTGTTTCTGCACTAGCTCCATTAACTTCAGTGCGATGAACTTTCCTGATTGTGTCACATGTACCTCGCTAGTGAGCAGAGGGGAAATCTTTAAAAGAAATTAAATTCCCTTTACTTTAAAATGTAGCCATACAAGTTCACCCTGAGTTTCATGTATTACGAGAAACTCACCTTTTCACATAGTAGAGGGGATATTCCTAGCTATAGGATACCAAAAACTAACAATTCTAGGGAAATGTTTGCAAATAAATATTCTTTGATAGAACCCACAGTTGCTCTGAAGAAAGAGAAAACATTCTGTAAAGGACACTTATCAATATAATGTCAGTATCTGCACCCTTTTTTAACAATTAATGTGAGGATGATTAGTATATTTCTTCAAAAAAGCAAAACATGCAATTAGTTACAACTTGGCTATTTAGCATTCCAGAAAGATACATAACTCTTTACCAAACTATATGTGCCAGACACCTGAAGATGGTTCAGACTCACATCTATTACTTAGGCAGGAGACTGCCATTATAAATGACTGGATCAATCTAAGAAAAAAAAAAACTGGTACCTCTTTTCTAGTTCTCCCAGTAACGGCAGAATCATCCCCCACAGGGACTATGTGAAGCAATACTAACTCGCAATGGTCAATTGGAATCAGACTGGAATAAAGAACAGTCATTTATATGTAATTTAACTCTGATAGTAATTGGTATAGTGCAACGGACGTTTCATGTTCAAATCACAGATGTTTGTCTTAAAGATGCAAATAATTATTTGATAAATATAACAGAATAATCTTTATAAGGCAAAAAAAAAGGCTTCAGCTTTATGGTATTCATTACAAGAGGATTAATTTATTATCAAAGAAAACATGTCATAGTTAAACTAAAATCAATGTAGGATTTGCTTAGAACTGCAACCTCACTCTTTATCTTTTTAGTCCAAATTTAGTTCAAATAATATTGTTAAAAGTATATATATATTGAGAAAATGATGCAGATTCTTCAGTAATCCTCTTGTTTTACACGATTCAATCTGGGACAGACCTGTCTGAGCTTGCAGCTAGTTTATTATGTTGTACAATGGTGTCTTGTACACATTCCTCTATGGTCCTCACATGGGCATCACTAGAAGAAAATCAGCAGAATGAATGTATTAGTAAGTTTGATATATCTTATTTCTATACAATTTTTAAAGCTTACTACAGAGTTTTCACCTTCATCACCCATTAGTGATGCTGGGAGCAAGTACGTATCACTGAAGTGATTGAAAAATTGTGTAGAAATCAGGCAGTTTTAAATTCTGTTATATCCATATACTAATGCACACAGATGGGTTCCATTTAGAATAAAATATAGCTTTTAAACCCCCACCGAAATATACGTAATACAATATGTCAAATCGGGCTGCTTATAATTTTCCATACTCAAAACAATAAATGAAATATCAGATGCATGTACTAGTAAGTTACATTCAACACAGTCTTTTTCTTCAATCTACCTTTTCAGGGTTGTCAGACATATCACCCTTCCCCTGTTGACAACAGCACTGTCATCTGGGGACAAAGACGTCCTCATTCTGTGCTGTAACTCAGACGTCTCGCAGAGAACCTCGATGGCACGCACCAAACCATGCATGATATTGAAGTCAGCTTTACGGGACTTGGCCAAGGGTGGCTTGATGGCAGAAAAGAGCACCAGAAGCTGAAATGCAATAAATCATAATATAAGTATTTTCAGGGATGAGACATAAATTTAGTGGAAAAGTCAGAAAATATGCCATGGGGTCTAGGAACCAGCCTAAGCCAATGATATTTTTTGCTCCCAACAAGTCCATAACCTAATCCCTGTATTAGCGATATATATTTTTTCCACTGTTTATTATGTAATGATGATAAAGAGAAAACAAATTCTAAAAATATTTTACATGTTGTCTTCTTATTTGGCGTGATGTTTTAAATAAAAAAAACATTTAAGTTATTACGCTCCAATCCGGAATGTGTGGAAATTTGAAAAAGCTAGTCCCAAATCGGCTTATTTCTTATTCAGACTCTAAATCAACAGCACATTACATGATTCAGTAGCTGCTCCTGCTGTTTCCAAGTGTTCATAGTATTGGCCGCACTATCACTGCTAATTAGACGAATCTGGAGAGAGATATTAAAATATGTAATTGAGATAAAATACCTACTAGTACATATTTTTATATCTATTTTGCACTGACAATACAGTCATAACAGCAATCAGCTACAGACAAACAAGAAAGTCTTGATACAGATTTTAAAACTGTGAATATATATTGCACAAGTAAACTCACCAGTTTATTCTTAGGGAAAACATCATACACAATCCTGCAGTATTCTAAAACAGCCTCCACATTACAAGTCCACATGCTCTTCATCACTGGAGCCAAGGGAATGATCCCCGATGCTCGGTTCTTGTTGAAAAGCACATCAAACTCTATGGCTTGCTTGCACGACTCGGAAAAATGTGGACTGTGATCAATCACAATGACAGTCTTGTGAGCATGGGGGAAAGCCATTTTGTGAGACTGTCAATAATATGATGATTATGTATAATTCCTGGTTCAGACTTGTCACTTTTAATTTGATATTATCAAAACTTTATCAAGGATTAAGAATTACTGAGGTTCATTTACAATGGTCAGTGTTATCAAAAGATATTCTTCCCTAATATTATCATCAGTAGTCACTCTGGTGTGGTTACTTTAGGTTAGATGATCAGTGATGACTGCAGTGGGTGCACTTGTTCTAAGTCAGCTTTAATAGGCTTATTTGATATATAGTAACAGTAATATGATCAAAGCCAGTGCTGTTGGCAGGTGCTGTGTGGAGGGGAACTACATCTTTCTTATGTTGGAATTTGGTCAATTCTTTAACAGCTCACTGTAAAAATAAAATACAATGCTACAAATTACAATTCATGAACTGAAAATATCAAAACACACCACACAAATTTTCTCTGCTTGACACATGCATGCACAGCAATATATACATTTCTATTTGTCCAAAGAAAATTGTCATTTGATGTACAACATACGAAAACGTCTGTCATTTATCTTATCACAGTGCCCATATAGTAAATCCGGTATATGGGAAAAGCAAACTTAATCCCATACATAGAAGGCTAAACCAGAACACTCCATTTCACTTTCAATTAACTTTTAGACTTGAACTGGTGCTAAGTTTCAATGTGAATATAAGATACACTAGTAGTTAAAGCACCCAAAATGTTCTTTTATTGGCATATTATTGGTGCATGATTGCCTTTAATCTCTTATCTTCCCCTTAATGTCACATTTCACTCTAAAATGTTTATTATTTTCGAGCTCTTACCCAAAGCGCAGGGCTTCTTCCAGGTGCTTCAACACTCAGCCTCGTTTGGAATATAGGTCAAACATGTTGCTCTTCGTAATTAGGTCACACTGGGGGAGGGAAGAAAGGAGGGAGTGAAGGAGGGAGGGAACGCTGGAGGGGAAAGGAGGGAGTGGGAGAAGACGTCAGCGTTCTAAACCAGATTTACAGGGTACAATAACCAATCATTCTTCTATTTAGTATTCACAGCTATCTGTGTGTGTGTGTGTGTTGGGTAGATTTAAATAAAAACAATCATTAACTGAATTTGCAAAAAAAAGGCTAATTATAAAAATCTTATAATTGGACTAGCGTAAGCTACATGTACCTACTTGTAGCCCAGCTTAATTATTCATATTGAGCTCGCCATCAAATTGCAGATCACGTGCGTATATCTCTATAATATGATTTTGTTGATGGTCATTTATTTTAACTTAGCGTCAATGAATCTAACATTTTAATAAATATAGTGTAATTCTCTTAATTCTTGTTTCACTTGATTTAACATAAAAAACAGTAGGTCTAGAACATCTTTTATAGGCGTGTTTTTAGGCAGTATTATTCTATGATCTGATTTTAGTCATGGAAGTTATTCCCTGTGGTTGAACGTTGTCACGCTGCAATTCTCAAGCATGCCGTGGTTCAATTTCATCAGTAGTAGTAGTACATCACACAAATGCTCATCACGCACGTCACTCAAGGCAATACACGGACAAGAGGGCGCGCAAGCAGCGGGAAAAAGTCAAAATCAATTTTCAGTGGTTTTAAGCACGAGCTTTTACTCATTTTCATCCTTTATTTATTGCTTTAAAATCATTTATTATTATTGCTATTGTTGTTGTTGTTAGTAGTAGTAGTAGTAGTAGTAGTAGTAGTAGTAGTAGTAGTAGTAGTACAATCTGACAATAATGAAATTTCGTCTCCATCGTAGCTAGACTTGTTTTACAAGGTTAAACGCTGTGTTTAGCTGTTGATTGAAGAGAAAATTACTTTTTTCTTAAAATCTGTCGCCGGTAAATACCATAAACACCGTTTTAATATACTTTAGATATCTTCATTAATTCTGTACTTACCTGCCATCAAAATCTTTTGATGTTTTCTTTTTGATCAAAGGTTATCCATTGATTCACGAGAAAGTTATTATGGCGTATATGACAGTATACATTTTAGAAAAACAATTATCACTAGCAGACTCGTAATTATCTTGGAGGTTAAAGAAGGGTACCAGGAAAAATGACAACAAAAACGAAATCAGTTCTAAGCAATCAATCATAGTTCTAAGCCATACAGAATGGCACCGTTCGCCCTCTAAGGGTGCATTCCCAGAGATTTAAATCGATCCAGAGATTTGGATTTAGATCGACCTAACTCCCTGGGGGTTCACGTTAAATTGCAGTCAGCCGAGCGCGCACCATAGTTAATTACCCCCTTACAGCTTTTAGTAGGCGGGACAGACGCTTAAGCCGGCTAAGCTGACAGTAATCTAGTGAGACTCTCCACAGGGATAGATCGATCTAAAATCTGTGGGAATGGGGTCTAAAACACCAAAATTTATAGGGGCCTTTCACTGGACCCCGAACCCCACGCCAAAGGGGGGGGGGGGCTAGCTTAGCATCCGTGGACCCCTTTTTCAAATAATCCTGAACAGATTATGATGCCAAGTTAACTATTAATATGTTATATTGGACACAGGGACGGAAAATTGTTCGGTTCTGCTTCGTTATGCTTGCTATACTGCTTTTTTTTTTCGCCTAACTTATCTGGACAGAGAAGAATTTCATCAGCTGTGTTATAATTCCCTGATGAATATGTTCTGCTAGACATCGAAATATTGGAGGTAAAAACTTTTTCAATATTAAGCTGTTGACTGAAGAAACATTACTATATTCTTATAACTTATCTGGAAAAAGGAAAAGAATTGCACATCCCACAGCTAAACAGCTGCGTACAGTAGGTCAGAAAACGTGGCTATATTAATGATTAGCGTGCTAAATGTTGTCACTAACAATGGTTCTTCCCACATATTTGTTCCCTCATTCACGCTCGATAAACTCTTGTTTTTATAAATATGGCACTATTTGTAGATGCTTATCTACATTTCGTTAATAAAATATTGAGATGGACCTGTGGCATGTGCTGCGCCGAATACCACGAACTAATGGAATTATGTCAAGACTTCACAATGTTATAATCATTCAAAATAAATGTGAAAGATGAATCTGTTTTACTAAATGGCTGTTGAAAAAGTCACTTATAACCAATTAAATCTTGTTGTGCAGTGATGATCATTAATTGCATTATACCCCCGATACGTGAGTGAAATGTAACTAACTTTATTGTTCGAAATAGCTCGGCTATGCCAGAAATTAGTTTATGTTAGCTGCCAGTTGTAAAAAGCCTTTATCTCTATTATATTGGAGGATAGGCGTCGTGAGCTGACTGTGCTTAAACCCTTGTTTTAGCTTTCATATTTATCTGTAAGGTAGCTGTAAATCAACTGATTATCAATGCCATAAGGTGGATAATACAAAAAAAGGATTTTTATAAGATGATATTAAGTGTTTATATGGTTTTACAGGGAAAGTGTTTTTAATATGGTCAGCTTAATTGAAAAATGAGCCCATTTCCAATAATCACCCACCTTGAAGAAATGGTATTGATTAATAAATAAAAAAGAAAGAAACAGCTGAGGCATGCTGAAAGCCATAGGCTCAAAGTCACGCTGTAAACACGTTTCCTGATAAAAGAACACATAATTCAAATTCACTCTTGTTATGAAGAACCAGACAACCAGTAACACTAAGGAAATTTCATTTTAATGTGTTTTACAACAGGAATAGAGTAATTTTCGCAATTGCGTTTCGCAATTCCTAAAATACACACGATTAAATCTTTGTGTCATGCGTGCTGGTTCACAAGTTTACAATGTCCCTTAGGATAAAATAACACGTGAACAAACGTCAATTTTATACCATTTCAGATCGCTTTCGAGAAGGCAAAAAATATCAAAATTGCATACTAACGAATGGCAAAAGCGACCTCGTGGCTTTCATCTATGGTGTACATGTACTTTTGTCTACTATAGGCGATAATAAACTGGATCATCTGGTGTCTAGAAAACGTTATTCAAACATTTGTTCTCAGACTTACATTACTTTAATTCCATGTTTGTAGCGTCGACAAAGATACTGAAGATATCAAAGAGTCCTAAATCATTTAACAGATAATGCCTGTTAAATGCACCAGCATTTAACGGAGATTGCATAATTTACAGATGTTTGACAACATAATGGCAAAATGGCTAGCTCCTAACAAGAGTGCGTTACGTACCTTTTATAAAACGGCCTCGGAGATTGAACAAAACCCGTAATGACGCATAGGCGTTTCAAGTCCTTGGAAAATGGTCAGACGATTCAATAACCAACTGTTTATGCATTACCTTTGAATAGAGTTTCCAAGAATGACTTCAAAGCATCCTCATTCATTTAGATAGATACAGGTATAAAGCTGAAATAATATAACAGAGGGCCAATCTGAAAATAATATTGGAAAGCTCAGGAGACCATTCGAGGAAAATAGACCAACTGGTATGTTACAATATCAAAGATTCTCTTTCAGAAACATATTTAGGAAAATCTGGTTATTTAAAGGCGCCATGGGCCTCTGCTCGAGATAGCCCCCAGATGCTGAGTGCTTTGGGAAAAGGAATGATGGAATTATATAAGATGATTTTTCTTATAAAACCATTGCAGGCTACCAAAGTGAAAAAAGAGGAAAAAAGAAAAACCGAAGCAGCTTAATAAAACAGGATACACAGGATACATCAAATATGCTAAGATTGGCCACGTATATACATATTTTACCAATTAACAAGGGAATACGTACACTTTACAAATAAAAAAGCATTCGTACCACTCAAATAGTCACTGAATTTGCCAATCACGATGTCAGTAAGCCGCTTTGCCAGATAAAGACATTTTTAATTTGACCTAGCTGTCAAGCCATACTATTGGATGTTGTTATTTGATTGGAAACACCGCAAGCAGCGTTGGTATAAAATGTTCGCTACCTGGCGAAAGCGCAGTGAGAGGACGTTTTGCAATCGCGCTTTTACCGGAAAGCAGCCTAACTGGAAGTCAAGGTTAAAAAGAAATATTAATTTATCATTTACTGCGACTCGCAATCCCGAGAGAGAGAGCACGGACGTGGCTTTCTTTTATTTCTATCATTTTATGCAGTGTCAATCGTGTGTGACGCATCATTAAACAATTTTTGCAGTCATTGCCGGTCGATCCGCGAGTTGGCAACCAGAAAACACATTATTGGCGACAAGTCTCTCTGAGAATAGCACGTAGGACATGACAGAATAATGAATGAATAATGAGTTAGTGGCAGGTATTATTCCACCAGCGTCTTTTGGGGCATTTTGATATGTTGGAAAGGATTGACGCCAGAGAAATCAGTTAAGTTCAATTGGTTGTTGAACAATTGTGCAAAGACACAGTGCAGAACACTTACAGAATATTTTCATCTGAACCAATGTGGCATATTTGAAGATAATTCCACTGTGCTGGTAGGTGAGGCATTTTTTCTGTCATGTAAATTAGTTTAACAGACGAAAGATTTTCAAACCAAGCAACATAGGATATGTTGCCGCAATAAGCTTCGCCTGTCTATGAAGAGGGGTAAGAAATTGTGTACGGTTTATTTGGGTGTTTATTTTCAAAAAAAACATTTTTGCTCACCCTTGTTGTTCAATCTAACAACTCCAATAGAAAAGTAAGTTTTTCCCGTTGGCAAAAACGTTTTTCTTTCGAATGAATTACATGTAGTCGTTGATCCACGACATGTGGCGTGGTGGACTGGGTTTCCATACCTAGATCGATCTAAATGGATCGATCCACCTCCAGGGTTTCTCACTAATTTGCAATCAACTTAATAGGCCTAGATCTCTGTCACGCCTACTGAGGCCGCTAAGGGGTAATTAAAGGGATAATAACTCTTCGTATGAGGTCTATATTTTACAATAAAAACATTGTGAATAACTCATAGAAATATAATATATTCTGTTTTACGACAAAAACAGCAGTTATAGCTATTATTCTGATATCTGAGCTAGTCTTTAGACCGCGTAACCTCCATCGATGGCTATACTCTGTTATAATCTCTTAAGAGATTTTAACAAAAAACCCAAACTTTTTAGAAAAAAAAAAAACAGGGACTAACTTTGAATGTAAAAAATGGAATCATTAACCATTGGTAAGTATGGGAAATTGTTGTTTACTCTAGGAAAATTCATTTTTGGCCAAAACGAAGAGTTATTATCCCTTTAATTATCGTTAAGCAGCTCCAGTAGGCGTGCCAGACATCTTAACCGCTTAAGCTGAAAGCAATTTAGCGAAAAACCCCTCTGAGATGGATCGATCCTGTTAGATCCATCTTGGTATGGGAACCCAGTGTCATATCTGTAATTACCCCTCTATAGCGTCGAGTATGAATATTGAAAGCTCTTGTATAAGCTACACGTACGTTAGAATTATAAATGAAAGTACTATGCAATTGTTTGTGAATGCCGAACTCGCCAAACTTGAGAACTTATGCATAACAAATATTTTCAAAATCGTCCAAGTATTTTATGAAGCCATCTGTGTACTAACGACGTACTACTCATTAGGTTAGCCCGCCCATTGCGTGTGACATAGGGAAGATCGTTTTCTGTGATTTTTATTTCCATCCACCCATGACGTTGACATTTGAGAGTGGTCAAGTCTGATAATGGAAGAATAGAGTCGTTCTGCATTAGAACTACACACGAACAATACTTTTTTACATTAGTATATTGGTGCAGCCAAGTGTGGAAAAATTAAAACGTTTTGTGATTTTATTTATTTATTTATTTATTTATTTATTTATTTATTTTTTGTTTGTTTGTTTCAGCAGTTGACCAAGCCACAAACCGACGGTGACGAGAAGCCTCAATTTTATAAAGGTCTTAAATTTAACCCAGCCTTGAAACCAATTACCGCCCGCATTACGACTGACCTACATGTACAACTAACTCAATTAATCTACCTTCAATCACATTTCCTGCAATTGGACAGCACGAGACAACAGTGGTCATTTGAAGCGCAAACATTCGACCATGAATTCCGACATTTTGACCGTTATTTTTGATGATGCTTCTTGGAATGATTCAAACGGGTTCAAGTCCTTGGTAAACGGATCAAATAGATCAACCCCGATATGGGACGAAGCTGAAAGGACTTCTGCAGAAGCGCTACTATCCGGCAGCCGGATCGGGATGCTTCCCGTGGCTCTCCTTGGTTTGATTGGCAATCTGCTAATTCTTATCCTTGTCACGCGCAGTGACGTGGTGAAAAAGTATCCATTGTCCGTTTACTTGTCCGCCCTCGCCGTCGGTGACTTCATTTTCTGCCTAGATCTACTGCGCTGGTACCTTGAGTGGGCGGACCTGATTCCCAAGGATTGGGGAGACGTCTATTGTGCCATCACGAACTTTTTGGGTCATTTTGCAATTGGTCTCTCTCACTGGACGATATTATGTATTTCCCTGGATAGAATGGTTCGTGTGGCGTTTCCCTTTAAAGCCAAGACTCTGCTGACGATGAAACTCGCGCGGATTGTTGTCGTCGTGGTGGTGTTCGGCGTGGGCCTACCAAACATTCCCCATTTTGTTTTCGACCACCAAGTGCCCGTGGATAACACCACGTGGATGTGCTGGACATTACAAACAGATACAATAGGCCCGTTATATTATAACCTGATGAGAATCTTAATAGAAACTCCACCCGTGATCCTGGTGATCTTCGTTAACTGTATAACGGTCTTCAAACTGCGTTCCCACTGGAGTAAAATGAAAAAAGAAGGCATCAAGGAAAACTGGAACCAGAAACGCGGTAATCTTCACATGGAGGAGACGGCCTTGACCGTTACCTTGGTAGTCAACGGAACCCTCTTCGTTGTCTTGGAAACGCCATACTCGGTGACGGAGTTCGTGGCTCATTACAGATCAACGGATGACATCAGTGCACTTCCGTACATGTTTGCCACTGTGTTCAAATTGGTCAGCGGCGTCGATCACACCTGCAACTTTTTCGTCTACATCATTGGGTCAGCCATGATGAGGAGGGAGTTCATTGCCATGTTCCGGTGCCCTGAGAAAGCTGATGGTACCATGAAGACGGAGTGCCACACTAACACAATTCCGGTTATTGTGCATCCTAATTCTGTCGACGATGACACCGTGGCCAGTAGCAGCTTTTCTTTGTCATCCACAAACACGCGACTGTAGTACAGACACCTTCGAAAACGTTCCATACGGAACAGTCTGAATGTAGTACAGAAACCTTCTAAAACGTTCCAGACGGAACAGTCTGAATGCAGTCGATACCAAGGAGCAACTGGCCCCAATAGTTTTGACTTTTTTTTAAAGTTAAAGAAATGAAAGATGTTATTTTTATCATTTAATTACATCATTCTTATAACATAACACAGCTGATGAAATTCTTCTCTGACTGAAAGAAATGACAATTCATTAATGTTTTTATTGTATATTATTGATAGAACTATTCAGTGAAAGCAAGGCCCATATTTCCCTATCCTCTACCAGGTGGTAGATTATATAGGGAACTAGAAAAGCACTCCGAGAGCGCAGACCTCCGCCAAGGCAGCATTTTTTAAAATTATTATTGATTATTGATTATTGATCCGGATCACCTCCAAAAACTAATCATCTCTTCCTTGGCCCACTTCAGACAGTTCCTGAAAATTTCATCAAAATCGGTCAATAACTTTTTGAGTTATGTTGATGACAAACAATCTATTTATCTAAAGATACATGTATATCTGTGAATATCCTGTGAAAAGTGGCCCTGATAGAGGGTAAAATTTCCCCAGGCAGATTTTAAAAAGGTTATGAATTTAAACTGTTATTAAATGGTGTTTTTAAACGTAGAACTGTTAAGATGGCGACAGATGTCTTTGAAAGAAGAGAGTTATCAAATAGATCGTGTTATTTAGTATTAGAGAAAACATGCAAATGGCAGAGGGATTTGGCGTAGTAGGGAAAATTGATTTGTTTTACATTCCAGCATGCGGTTTTGCGTGAACTTTTGGTGTGAAAATGGATTATATTTAGAAGCGGAGATAGTCATGCAAATGCCAGAGGGATTTTTCTTACAGAAGAACATTAGATTTGTTTTTCATTCTATAATTTGAAATTATATATCCTTAGTATTTTTGTGCCGCGGTTTAGAAACGTCGCCTTTATGAATTTGTATTATTAACCGCAATTGTGCATACAGACGTAGCCGCAACTAATCAGGCTTGTGCAATCTATTGTAAAGCGTGTGTTATATCTTTATATAGCAGAAAATGAATCCAAGCTTTAAATTACATTGTTCTTTCTTAATCACCCTGAAATACCCTGTCTAAAACGGGCTTTTCCTCTACGAATCCAAAAAGTGAATCAGAAATCAGAAACTAAGAACTCTAAAATTAGATCTATATATCATAATAGCATCAACGGATTTGGAAAGGGTAAGTGCAAAAGGAACAAGCATTGAATTTTCCATGGATTTATTTTACTGTGTAAAGGTTTTAGCTGTCATTGCGTGTTTTTAAAGTGGCTGAAATTTGCAAATAACAATATATTAATTAAATTCCAAGTCTGCAAAATAAAGAATTTTTTATGCTATAAACAAAAAATCGAATGTAAACATACGTCATTGTAGAATTGTTTTAATCATTTGTGGAAACGATTACACACCGATGCTCAAAGATGTTCAATGCCCCCCCCCCCCCCTTTGCTTTCTGAAAAAAAATCACACCAATGGTCCTCTCCTGAAATTTTGATTTTGACTAGCTGAATCATAGTTCTAAACCGTGCCAAATGGCACCATTCGCCCTCTAAACTCTAAAATACCAGTAATTTTCGGGGACCTTAAGCGGGCTCCGAACCCCACGCCAAGGGGGGGGGGGGGAGGGGGAGGAGGATCGGCTTTGCATCCACGAACCCCCCCTTCAAATAATCCTGGATCCACCCCTGTACAGGATTGTTCAAATGTCGCTAAAACCTTCGTGCATGTACACAGCGTCACATATCACTATTTAGAGATAACCTACATGGCATGGGACAAGTAACAACTATGAACCATGGTTATTTTCAGCAGGGAAGGTTAGAAGGACTCACCAATCATTTGATCGGTAAATAATTATATCATTTGACGATAAGCGTCAGGCCATCAACCCAAAGGTACTCCCCCTCCCACTTCACAGATAAATTATTTGCCATACAACTCCCCCATTTTTAACAAGTATTGCCATAAAGTTTTCGACCGGATAGCCTTGTGGTTAGAGTGTCCGCCTCTGTAGCGTGCCAGCAGAATGTGGGGTCGACCAGCCCTTTAAATATACCATGTTTATAAACGTTACCTACTGTCTCCTTGCTAGGCACCCAGCACTCAGGGGTTGAAGCAGGGTCCCTTGTCTGACAGAGAAAGAGATTGTTAGCAAGATAGCTTTCAGCGCCTCATACGGCTCAATCGGTTGTGACCTCCACAGGGAGGCGAGATTGTCCCAGTATGTAATGGCCAGACGTCTGAACTATTCTTGTATACTGCACTATACCGCACTGTATTTATATATACTTCACATAATTGTACAATCCAGCTACTTTTAGTTGCAAATAAACTTTATTATAATTATTACTATACTCGATCTTTTCAATGGGTAAAAATTAAAGAAATTTCAAATTCGTTTGCCAGCTGGCTTTGACAGACAGTTCTGAATTCTCCAAAAAACAGAGCAATGTAAAATAATGATGGAAGGCACTGAAAATGGCTTACTTTTGTCAAATTTATACCAGTGCAACAATGTCATAACATATATTATTAATCTCTCATAACGGTAAATATAAAATATACCAATCAATTAACTCATGAAATGAAGTCTTTGATTAATCTTAGTGTGCAATATACGTCTGTTGGAAATTGCGATTTACTGAAATGACAAAATAATTGAAAAGAAGTAAAAAGAGGGATCAGACTCACAATTTAACGTCAAAATTGTGAGTAAAATAAATATAATATATACCAAATAAAGACCAAATATGAAATATTTGTGTGAGAAAAAGATGCCTAGAAAAATTCGCAAATGAATGTTCTTCTAAAAGTGTTATCTATCTGAGGAAGTTGTGGAATGGTTAAGAAGGCGAGTGATTTAAACCCTATTTCTTGTAAATTTCCTTTAAGCAGAAAACTAAGAAAGTAAAGGAAGTGGAGAAAAAAATTAATCAGGTGATTTACTGAAAACATATTTGCTCAGTTGACATAAATACTGTTCAGGAATAACCCCTTAAATAAATACAATTTTATAATAAGTTTTATGAGATTTATCTTCACAAGTGCCATTAACATTGTACTTCCTTGTGCTCTGATTTCCTAAAAGAAATGAAACATCAGCCCAGAATGCCGAACCAATATTTTCTTTTCGATAAATCCGATTATCAAGCCCTGCGCTGTCCATCGTTTTTCTTCTGGAAAATTGCTAAACATAAATGTATGCAGGTCCACATGAGGAAATACCCCAAAAGTTAATTCAGTTTAAAGTTAAAAGTGAATGATTCGAGCGACTTTTCTTCTTTTGCTTTTTTTCTCTTTTTCTTTTCAATATTTCATATTACATTTTAGAAAAATGTTTATCGATATTTCCAACCCAGTCCCACCGCGAAAAAGAAAACAATTTTCGGTGAATATTACATAATGATGTATTATTACCGTATCAGCTTGATCGATTTATCTCTCCTTTCCCGTATTTATTTTGTACGAAGGGTTATTAGGGGGAGATGTGTCCACAGAAGTACGCGTATAATTCCATATCTTATCTAAAATGCCCACAGCGGAGATAGCACTGCATTGTAGAACCTCTTCCCGTCCAAAAATTTTGTCAAAGCTGCCTGCAGATTTGTGTCCACTAGGAATTTTTTTCCTCAGGCACATGATCAGTGGCGTTAATTCTTCTGTTTTTTTTTTTTTACTATGCAGATCAACTTTTACAATTTTTCAGTGATTGAATTTTTAAGGACAACAAATATTACATTTGGCGAGACATTTAGGTCCAACTGTGGTTGCATGTATTTAAAGGAAGTTCATTCAATATAGTGTGAAAATGGGTTCTTTGTGCTTACCTAGGGAGGGGGGGGGCTGTTAGTTTAATAATTAATATCAGATCTTTTTTTTCTATATTTAACGAGGAACAGTGGCTGTTTTTATCAATCTTTCTATTTGTGCGCGTGTGTTTGGATGTGTTTGTGTCCGCATAATGAAACTTGGGACCACTATACATAATGCATAATGTGTCCAAAAGTGAAATAAACAGATAAAATTAAGAAAATCAAATAGACAATATCATGTCATAAGCAAGGCGTGTCCGTAAAACCCCTACTTGAGATAAAGAATAACATAACCCCCTACCCATTAATTTCCGGTGACTAAAATATCCAGACTTCCTTATTGTGAGTTTTTCCTTGCTACCCTGGGTCTTATAAATGGCGTGGCCAAAAATCTCAGACACTAACTGTCCTGCCAAGTAGAGAGCCGTCCAAGATATAGCATCTTATTCATTGCTACTGATCCCATAAATTGTTGAACGTCTGCAGCAGATTTACCCGAGGTAAAAGCAAAATCAGATTATCCTCCGCCGAAATCAAAGCCTCATCAAATGGGAGTCAAAGTGAGTATCTGTTCGAACACATTTATTCACATTTTCAATCAGTTACACGTTTAAATATGTTTATCCTACAATATACTTCTTCAACGTGAAGATTTTTTCGGTGCAAATATTAAAGGCATACAATGAGCAATCGATTTTGTATAGAGCAAAACAAAATGAAATTTTCTAGAAATTTCAGCATATTTTCCTTATTACCGAGGTATTCATTGTTCAAAACCGTTGAGACAACTAGCTGCGATTTATAACCTTTCTGAGTATTTAATTTTTAATTTTACCGCTCACCAGTTAAGTTTACCCGTCTCTAATGTTTTTTTTTTCTTTTATTATTATAAAGTTAACTCAAAAACTAGAAACAAATAACTCATAAATGGTTTTGCAGATCTTCTTTTGTGAACGTTTTTTTTTTTTTTTTAATTTTTAATTTTTCTATTTATTATTTTTTATATGGCATACCCATGACGGTTAATAGGAATCGCTTTAAAATGACCAAGGAATTCGACATTGATTTTTGCAAAATAAAGGTCTAACGCTCACTGTTTGCCTTTAAGTCGGACAATCTTGGCATCTAGCACCTTCAAGGAAATACTTCTGTAAAAGTGTAATTTTTGAAAAAGTAACCATTTCTTGGGAACGAAATTTCGTTGTCTGAAGAAAGGTTTCTCTGATGTGTGAAATATTGCGTAATAGAGATATTACTACTATTCGAGTTACTCTCTTTTAGTGGAATTCTGAATAAGTGTTGGTATGACAAACTTTCGGCCTTACATGTACGTTCTTTTGTAAAACCGACTCTAACAGCATATTATTTTGGTTTTGGTTTATCAAGTTAAAGAGGAAGGCTAATTAATGTATGAATATTTTTGTGATATGTAAATGGATATTCTCAACTCTAGTTTTTTGATCACTTGAACAGGCGCTATAGTTTGTATTATTGTTGACACAACACATCTCTGGGTTCAACAAACAAATGGCAGAGAGTAGATTTTGCCGCGAGTATTTCTGATTAGTTTATCTCGAAAAAAAAACAAGAATTTACAAAAAATTATTTTCCTCTTGGCCGCACTGATTATTGTGGAATAAAAGAAAGTACTTTTAAAATCTAATTTTCTCAGGAACTGTACCTCTTTGCCGCACTAGTTATTGCGGTTGTCATAGCAACACCAGTGTCGATGCACCAGTACAGGGAAGTGCAGGGTTGGTGGATACCAGTGAATCCCGAGCGCCATCTGGCGAACACCACCGTGACCAGCTGCCCGTGGTTCATGATCTATAACGAAACAATGAACAGGTATGATCTTAGGTACTCACTGTCACTGTCGCTCTCTCTCTCTCTCTCTCTCTCCATTTGCATTTGTGCGCGCTTGTGTCAGATGTTTGCAGTATATTGGGAGAGGGGAGAAGGCATATGTGTGTGTTCTAGTATACCTCTCCTGACGTTATTATTTCCCTACGGGTTTTACCTTATAGAAATGAAACACTTTTGTGATGAAACGCAGTACAGAGGATAAAAGTTATTGTTACTCTAAATTGTGGTACCGTTGGTAATCACTGTCATATAAAACCGTAGTGCTTAATACAAGGAGCCGGTTTCACAAAAGAAAATATCCCAAATGCCGTGCTTTACTTTTGCACTCAAATTATAGTCTACTTCAAATCTGGTATGTCTAGTGATGTAATATTTCGTTTCATGTTTAAATGAACATTTCTTTATTAAACTAGAAAAGCACTCCGAGAGCGCAGACCTCCGCCAAGGCAGCAATTTTTTTATTATTATTGATTATTGATTGATTGTCGATCCGGATCACCACCAAAAATTAATCATCTGTTCCTTGGCCCTCTTCTGACACTTCCTGAAAATTTCATCAAAATCGGTCTATAACTTTTTGAGTTATGTTGATGACAGACAGACAAAAAAAACAGGGGTAAAAACATAACCTCCTTGGCGGAGGTAAATATTATTTATCTATGTTGTCGGTCTATGAAAGTCTGTCTAAAGTTCCTATGGCCGCATTCACAACACTCTGCACTATTATTCAGCACCAACAAAAGTGATACCTGGCACTAACATTCATCCGCTCTGGAAGTGCTGGTTAATCTGTGGGTTTGGTGGTTACTATGGGTGTTGGTGCTAAAAGATCTGCGTGTAGTGTTAGTAAAAGCCTACTCCGTTCATAAGGCCTAACTCTATTCTGTTCAATTGCAGACGTCCACAGCGACTGTGGTCGGCACTATGTCTGACCGACCGCGCCCTTTACGGCAACGGTAGATGCGAGTTTGTAAAGTATAAAGTATTGGTGGAAAACGAATGGGTCACCGTTAACGCGGGCTGCACGTGCGTTCCAGATTTACAACCCGTTCAAAAGTAACTGATCCGAGTTTTGGAGCAAGTGCCAAAACTTCATGAGTTTCAGAAGACCAACATGAAAAAGAATACTGGCATGGCAAATGCGTTTCTCTGGAATGGCGAGGATGAAGAAAGACGTTTACCGAATTTGAACTTAGATGTATTGTCGTCTGCTGTTTGTTTTACTTACATCTGTTGAATACCTTACACTTATTTCGGTTTGATATATCAAACGTATATACCTGCAATGTTTTTATATCGTTTACTATATATGTATTGTTATAGTTTTACGTCTTTTTGGGCGACTTTATAGGCCTACAATTTTACCATTATTATTTAAAAGAGTCTTTCATATTTCCAATATATCAAGGAATACTGATGTTAATTTTGTAATCAATAAATTCCTAGGAAAATGTATATGATTACGCATTTATTAATTCCTTCTAGTTCAATTTTCAGTTAAAAAGAAGTGGCGTGTATCTTTTTTATCCAATTAAGGTATGAGTGAAATACCATATATTTAACATAATTAAAAATACGTCAGTTTTAATGATAAAAAACAGAAAATTGTCAGAATTCAAACATTTTCCCAAACTTTTAAAATCCTTTCTTTATGAAACAAACAAGCCGGCTAAAAGGCCCTGACAAGCGCGCTAAATTTGTACGGTTGCGTTTGGCTTCTCTACCGCAATGTAACTACTACCATTCCATTCCACAAATCTTGGCAGTTGGGGTATCTGTGTAGACTATTCTCAGCGGCTGTCAAGGCGACTCCAAAGCTCCAATTTCCCTTGGACAGTTAACAATACTTAAGTTCTGTAAGAACAATGGTTTTGGCAGATATAGGAATTTCAAGAAAAAGATCAAATGTGTAAGAGGAAATCTTGGGTTGTGGTTGCAGCAATGATGAAAATATAGGATAGGCCTAAACATCTGGATAAACTGCATAATTATTCATTTCTTAAAACCACGCTACACAAACGTCTCAGTGCTGTTTACAGTATTACTACATATCAAACCTAAAACCTGATATTAATCAAAAACTATAATAAAAATGATAAACGTCAAAAAGGACATGGAAGCGTTCAAATAAACCCATATCATAGGCCTACTAGCTAGGTCTATCCAACTCCGCGGGGTTTCTTGCTTTTAAGTACAGTCATTGTAATCAGCTTAATTGTCTGACAACCAGGGGTAGAAGAATCGGGCACGTGATTCATCCTTAGGCCTAACTTCTGGTTAGGCCCTACTAACTGTCAAACTAATAAATAAATGATATAAGAAACAATAGAACTACACCAAACAAGGCCAATGCATTTTTTTTTTACATCTTTCGCTTCAATTAATATATGATAAGAAAAATGCCCTAAAAGAAAACACAAAATAAAATTGGCCTATAATTTTATAAATTATCAACGTCACGAGGCAAAGCGTAGGATCCAACATTTTATGCAAAACCAAGCACTTTCCTGACGGCTTAATTGTGAAAATGGAACATCCTGTAGATAAACCATCAGAAGATTACACTAGCTGTCACGTGCCATGCCAAAATTGGCACGTCTTCCAAAATAGGTGCGTCTGGTGATTAACAAAAAAAAGAAATAACGTACATATTTTGGCAGGACACTTAATTACAGTCTAACTAGTACAAAATGTTTCGGTAGGACACTTGCACCCGAGGATCAAGCGGAGCAAGGACCGCAAGGATCGCTTTTTAGCAGTGGCCTTTCAAACAGACGGAAAACACAGTTTTTTTCGACGTATTTCCTCCTTCATTAAACTAACTCAAATTTAACATCGCAGTGCACTTTTAAACCGAGAGGTATAAAAAAATACATCTCTAATTTCTAAGACGCACAACAACACAGGCACTGTGACGTCACGCAGTAATTAGGTCACCACCATGGCTGGCCGGCAGGCTGGCGAAGAAGCTCCGCGATATGTCCCAGATATACCATATCCAATTCGACTAAAACTGTGTAGAGCACTCGACGCCGATAAAGGATGGGAAGATCTAGGTATATTCTTATTCTTTTGGGTGTAAATTTTGATTTGGGGAGGTGTAACATGCATTTCCTTACGTGTTCGTGGAACTCTATCAGTTCTTCTGTATTAGTCTTATAGAAGTGAAGCAGGAAGTTCTTAGCGTAGCAAAGTGTATGTTAACACTTTCCTACATATTTTGCTAACCGCGTATGTAATGTGCTGATGTCGCTCGTATGGTACTAGTCTTTTCATGAATTTTATTTTAAAAACAAGTTGATTTCAAGCCTAATATCTGAGAGTGGAATTGTCCTACTTGGATGTAAACATTAGAAGCAGATGGATTAAATAATCAAGAATATTCTGGTGTTTATTTTCTCGACAAAGGAAGTTCTTTTTTTTTTAACTTCCTGGTATTTAGGCACATGTGAGCAGCTTATTGCCTGTCTTGTGATAATCATAAGTAATAATGTGTATTGAATACCACTCAACCCAAGTGTAGTCACATAACATCTGCTTAATAATCACACCCCCTCATACCAATAATTAAAGGCATATCACCCCCTCCCCCGCCCGACAAAAAAAAAACAAAAAAAAAACGAAAAATAAAACATTTTTTTTTAAGTCATCCTGTCTTTCTTAAACAGGACATAATGCAATATTCCTTACATTTTTATAATAAAAGTATTTTGATATGTTGGTTGTTATAAGTTTCAGTCATCGTATGGTTTATTATTAAAATTTGTTCGCAAATCTTCATATTCTTTATCATTTTTGTGAAGAGCATTGGGCCATTATGGAATGTGCTGTATAAGAATTACTTAATCTTTAATGTTATTATTACCTACTGGCAATTAACTACTGAGAGAAGTCAAATCTCTCAGTTGTTGATATCTAAACCAGGGAACATCTCGTAACATATAAATGCATCTATTTTAAAACTGTCTCATAATTTTCATATGTGTTACATATAACACACTAATTAACAGATGTGTACAGTACAAATGTGAACATTTTCATTAGAATATTTCAGAATGAAATTGTGTGTTGATATCTGGTTTGTTTGCTTGTGTGGCTTCCCATTAAACCTTGCCATTCATATCTCTGGTTGCCCCTGACTTCACAGGAATGTATGTCACTCTCTATTCTAACAAGAAGTGGATTCTCAGCACAAGACTGTGATTAGTATCCCTCAGTCTTTCAGACAAAACCATATTGCTGTACAGTAAGCTTCTCATGTTTTTCACATTTTTTTTTTTTCATTTGTAAGGCTCTCAATCTTGGGTATGATCAACATTGATTTGCAGCACCTTTTTCAGATCAAATTAATAATGCCTATCATATGTTTTTACTGATAATTAATAGCAGTCATTGTCCTCTTAAGGGTCTTTCTCACTTCATATCTTACTTTATGTTGTCTTTCAGTATTTAAAGAACCCATTTTGTCATAAAGTACAATTTGGGTTGCAGTCACAACCAAACCGACTTACCAGTAAATGTTAAATTGATATTTCCATGTGCTGTTTTCACAATTAAAACAAGTTAGGAAAGGAAAAAGGATACAGTGTGCCTTAAAATTTTAAGCCATATGCTTCCTTTGGAGGAAGATTGATCTTTCTTCACTGGGAATGCATTCTAAGGGTGCATTCCCAGAGATTTAGATCGATCCAGAGATTTAGATTGAGATCGACCTAACTCCCTGGGGGTTCACGCTAAACTGCAGTCAGCCGAGCATTCCCAATAGTTAATTACCCCCTTACAGCTTTTAGTAGGCGGGACAGACGCTTAAGCCGGCTAAGCTGACAGTAATCTAGTGAGACTCCCCACAGGGATAGATCGATCTAAAATCTCTGGGAATGGGGTCTAAGGTGCCATATTAATTACTAGTAGCTATCTGGTTGTTTGCTGCTGTCAGGTGGACTATTTTCCCTGTATATTACTCCTGATCTGAAACCAGCCATATATCTAATTGTTTTTGAACTTTTCAATACATTCAAAAGAACAGGTACTTCTTTCTGCCTTCTAGTGGAAAATCACCATATATAATAATAGCTAGTATGTGGGAAGTAAAACTATTGGTCTGTTAAATTCACATTAACATTAAGTGCAGGCTAAGCCAGGATTGCTTTCTTTTATTTATGTATACTGTATATCAGAGCAAAAGCATTTTTGTGCACTTGATTACAGTCAGTTTTTTTCTGTTCTTGTTGATTGTTGTCTATGAAATATGTTGTTTGGGTGTGCATGTGTGTATTTGATAGAGAGAGAGAGTTGACAGTTGTTACATGTTTCCATATATATATATATATATATATATATATATATATATATATATATATACTAATTTTCATCAAACCAAAATATTTTCAGCATTTGATAAAATTAGGCCTTTCTCACGGTTTGCGTGTTTGAACATGGGAGCTATTTTTTTACGTTCCTGTTGGTAACAGCGGTGTACCCTATTTTTGTTGCTTATAAATAAACATTAGATTAAGGTCAAGGTTTGTGCAAGTTGTCAACATATTCAACGTCCCTGGATGTTGCCTGTGGAGATATATGCAGAATCTGAATAAACATAAAGTTAAAGACAAGTGCTAAAAGAAATAAATTGTTCTGAAAAAAAATGTAAACTGTTATGTGAACAAAGTAATCTTTTGGCTAAAAGATTTGATTTGACTGAAACTCCATTGTACATTATTTGGTTTAAAGGAAACATCTATTTGAATTACTTCATTTTATGTAAAATGGTCATGGAAGCTGACACAGCCACTAAATGATACTTAGACCCTGTTCCCATGCCTACATCGATCATAGCAGGATAGACCCATCTCCGAGGGGTTTCTTGCTAAATTGCATTCAGCTTAAGTGGCTTAGATGTCTTCTTTTAGGAAGATGAATTACCGGTAAAAGGAAATAGATATGGCCCTATGGGGGAGGAGGAGGGGGGGGGTCCTGATTTCTACTCTTTATATTTCCACTTCAGTCAAGTCACCTAGAGTGAAAGAGGCATATTTATTTTATTTTATTGTTTTATTTTAGGGATATCAGTTTCTTTTTCAAATAAGCTCTCTGCAGGGAAAAGTCAAACAGTGATTTGTGAATAGGAGAAAATTGCTTTTTATGTAGGAAAATTCAATTTGGCATGAAAATCCTGTATCTGTAGGATAGTTTTCTTTAATCGTTTCAAATTACCAAAACATTCTGTCTTTCAGCTGGGGATCTCCAATATGCACTGACAGATATACTGCTATTCAATAACGCCTACATGCGTCCAGGCGGGAGCCCGACCAACGAACTGCTGACAAGCTGGGGACATCGAAATCCTTCCATTATAACCCTATTTAAACTGCTGGCAAACCATAGACGTTGTAGAGAGATGCAACTGCTGAAAGATTTAGGTAAGACAATGTCAAGACTAACATCAATCTTTTGAGAGAGTCACATATTGAATGAATAAAAACAGAACAAATTTGACATTTTTCCAACTCAAAATTGTCCCTAATCAATGAAATTTTCTTTCTACTTCTACTTGCTATGATTGAAAATAGAAACTGAAACAAAGAAAATGAAATTGACAGACGCTTTATCAGCGTACAGTTTTGATGAAATGCGACTGATAACTAGTCAGAGAAATGCCACTTTCTCTTCCTCCCTCAGGTCCATATCCATAGCTGATATTAACATCATATTCTTGTAAGACATCAGAGCAACAGCCTGGAAAAAACAAACAAATGGCAGATATTACCCAAGTAATTAAGTACTGGCAGATAGACTAGCGAGGCATGTGAAATGTGCATTTAGGAGTCTTTTAACTGATAAGAGCAGTTGTATGGCCCATTTACTGCTTTCTGCTGTGAAATATATGGGTTATTTTAGCTTTGAGCTTTGTGATATGATGTTGTCATTAACAACTGTTAAGGCATTGTCTGATTAGAATGGCGGAATATACTTGATACAGTGGCTCATAGATGTCAGAGGAAAAACCTAAAAGACAAAATTTGGAATGTCAGAGCAGTTTCATTATTAAAGGGGCTGCTGAGTAAAATTCAGTCATATATAACTCTAAGATTTATATAAATTTCACATTCTTGCAAAATACCCCAAATTTGATTACTGTCCCAGAAGACACAATTTTCCTTTTTTTTTTTTTTTTTTTTTTTTTTTTTTTTTTTTTTGTAGACAAGTCCCATATCATCTCTTATTAACATCTAAGCTAATTCATTTCCAATAAATGTGCAAAACGTTAAAATCTTGTTTGATGTCTATGACTTCAATTTGGTGTACAATATAAGTGGTGTTGATCCACCCCCAACCCCTGAATATACTTGTAATTATATTCTTATCATCCTAAAAAGATACAACCATTCTCTAGTGGTGCACAGCTTATGACAGTTTATTCTGTCTCCATGTATATCAAGATCAAGGAAATACTAAAACATAAGGGAGATTCCAAGGATTTTGTTGCAGTCCTGAACCAGGAAGTAGGTGTTATATTTTATTTAGTCTAACCCAAATTCAAATGCAAGAAATCAATAAGGAGTTGTTGATTTTTTCAACTACAAATAAATAACCCAAAGCATTGACCTAGGTGCGACCTCAAAGGGGATTCCCCTTAAAATGAGCAATGCCCATTGGCTGAAATGCTGGCCCATAGCTGATAAGGAAGTAACTTTCACTACTGCGCTAAACTCTTAGGAGTAATCAGAATGGACAAAGCAAGCACTAGACTTATATTCCCACAAGGTACGATTTCCTGATTTTATCACTACTTATGTTCTATTAATGAGTCCAGAAGAGAACTTGGTCTTTTATGTTGTTTCAAATTCTGACAGGGACAGTTACTGAAATTCTACGTTTCCTTGTTATGTTGAGGTGTGATTTGTCATTGTTCTTTGAGACATGAACTTGTGTCAACTTCTTGACCAACGTACTGTTTTAGTTGAAAAAAATTGTCACTCACCAAAACAATATTTTACCTGATATAGACTATTTTAGTAACTCAAACTAGTAATCCAATCAATTTAAGATAAATGATTTTCAGAAAATGTTTTTATGAATAAATCAGTTTGAATTGTTGCCATAGGAAGTACAGGAAGCACTTATATAAAAAATCAAATTTAGTTGAAATTTAAAATTCTTAATCAAAACATTGATAGTGTAATTGTTTAGATTTATTAAGTTAGTCTGCATGGCCTTGAAATACTAACCTGTGTCAATAAGAGTAATGAGTCGTTTGCATGTTAAAACAAATGTACTTGCTGGGGATACTGTACATTACCTGAAGGTACTACCTCTTTAATGAATCAGGAAGTAGAGGGGAATTTACTACTTTGAGAAAACTTCGATAGGGTATATTAATTTTCCTCGCTTCTGTGTTTGTCCTTAAAGCATTAATACAAACATATCATTAAAAGAAAATATGCTTAATGCATTTGCTTTGGCCATATGAAAAATAAAGAATAAAATCCATGCATTTCAGAATATAAATTTCACACCATTTGTTCTTGATAAAAGATAATTGGAGTTACTAGATGATGAGCTATGTGGAGTCTGCTTTGTTTTCATGTGCTAGAGAGAGAATTTTGAAGTCTGGGTTGAAGACTTTTATTGTCTCCCTGAGTATCAATCTCAAGTTAACAGTTACCAGTTCCACAGGTGTGTTTTTAGAGGTTCTACTAAGCAGTTACCATGTACAGGGGACTTCACAAGTCCTTTCACAAGTCCTCCTGTGTGGACAGAAGTTAATGTCAGACACTGGCGTCACATGGCGTTTGTTCATGGGGAGTGTGAATGGGTGGGGGTAAAACCAGGGGTGGACCCAGAGATATTTTCTGACATCCTTTCAAATTATATTTGTAGATCCATCCTCCAATTTTGACTGCCTTCCAATAGAAAAAATTAGATAATTGTCAATGTAAACTCAAAAATCTGACAGTTTTCTGGAAGACTCGGAAGACTGCCTCAATCTGCCACTGCAGAACTCTCTAAAATATTACTACTTGATAGCAGGACAAATGAGTCGCCAGTCTCTAAAAACATACCAATACAGCTGTGATGTTGAGATATAATGCTTAATATGAAAAAGTGATGTGTTCATGGACAGAATAAGTTATGAAAGCTTTACTCAATAACCTTTGTTATGGGCTTGTCTGTATCTCTTGATCAGCTATCTTAGTGGCTGATGACATGAATGAAACCCTCAAAGTAATTACCATGCTAAGGTAATGTTTCTCCTGAGATATAATAATTTAATTATAGCTCTGTGAGAGATTAAGGATGATGAGGGTACATTGTCTCAGTTCACAGGGATGGTTTCCCTTTAATTTGATTTAATATTGGTCGGCTTCACTTTTAAATAAATCCATATTGGTCCAGTTCAGTTAAGTAGTAAGTGTTATTCTGAGACATTAGCCATGTCTTTTGTGTTATAAAACAGACACAGTGTTTCATTAAGTTGGACTACTACATGTCTTGAATTATCTTGTGTGGAATTAGACTTAAATTTTGGTTTGTACTTTTTTGGCTAAATTTTATTTATTTATTTATTTATTTGTTTGGTTGTTTATTTTTTCTTGTTCAGGTATTTTTTCTAGGAAACTGTGCTGCTGAAATCTTGAAACACACAGGCTGTTTTCATGTCATTCATCCTATTGTTAAACCAATAATTGCAAATATGAAGAAACTGATGTGGAACAAACATATAATCCAAATTGAAACATAAAATGAAGTGATCAATAAACTAAGTAGTATGTGTATAATTTGTTTGTGTGAGAGAGTGGGAGAGAAATTGTTGTCGTCATGCTAATGCTATAAAATTTGATCAATTATTTAATGCAAAAACCCAACAGCTTCTGAAACTGAAAATTATCATGCTTAAAATTATCATGGAGAAAGTCTCCTCTCCAGGTTAAAATTCTGAAACCTCTGTAAACTGTAACCAGTTTATGAGAATACACCATTGTCATGGTCAAGAAAGAATTTATAAGACATGATCTGTTTCACAGTAGCATATCTTTTATGATTCTACTCTCACACCTTTAGCCAATTAGGAGAAAGGCATTTATTAAATGTAGACATTAATGACCTAATAACATGTCACTGTCATTGGCATTTTCCATTTCCTTATCACATTGGATCCTTGTAATCTATGGGTGAGTAGCTAGGTGCTGTTCTCACTATGCATTCTGATTTCCCAGATTTGTATAGTATGAAAAGGGTATTGTCTCATTTTAGCACCTGCAATTATATTGAGATTGGTTTCCTTTGCAGTAACTTTTTTGATATCAATTATTTACCAACACAAGGCCTGACTCAGCAGTTATCAAATTACATATTTTATTATTTTCCTTCCTCAGTGCCAGAAGAGTACCACCGCCTAATGGACGAAGACTTCAGTGGGAATTTGTTTGAGAGGAGCGACAGCAGTCTAAGCAGATGTTCCAATAAAAGTTTTGATGAAAGTAATTAATTAAAATGTGTAATGTTTGGACAACGCATTGTCTGAAAACTGTCTTCTCACACTTCTGTTCATGTTTCTTGAAGCTTCCTTTTAATGAAATTGCAAGCCTGTTAGAAAGTTTCTTATGTATTCATCAAATTTGCTAGAAGGGATTTTATCATGCAAGTGAGGTCTGTTGCAAATTTGAAAAATTTACTTGTCAATTTAAGATACTCTTGCAGATTTATAACGAATAAGCACCAAAAACATAAATAGAAGTGTTTAATCATATGCAAAATTTAATTCAGTCAGTTTGAAATGTAGTATGATAATATTTGAGTTTGAAATTTAATATGATATTTTTATACAAAGTATTATAAAATAAGTAAAATCTAGAGAATTATTAAATAGGTATTTTTCCTGTGGTTGTTTTAGTAATAACATTAATAACTTTGTTACATGAAGAAAAAACATCATCTGATCTTTTACAGACCTTCCTTTGCCGCCACAGAATGTGGAAAATGATGAAACCTTGGACTACACCTACCATAATGTAGGTCAGCCAGCGTCAGCTCAGTCACTACAAAATGGCTACCACAAAGACAACCGAGACCAGAACATGAATGAAGACAAGCTGAAAGATATATCTTACGAAAATGAAAAATCCATCAAAGACATGCTGTCGCCTCTCTTCAGTGAGGCTCAGCCATCCTATCCTTGTCACCCAAATAAGAATGCACACCAGATGAGAAAAATGCACCCGCAGTCGCAAGAAAACGAGGAGTTAGACTACGAGAATGCACTGCCAGTGATGAAGAACAGGGTTCTCCCTCACGAGCCTCAGGAGTCTGAGTGTGACTTCACTGAACCCTCCACGGGTTATACACAGAGGCAGTCACCCCAGTCCATTCAGTCTGTGGGCAGCGAGGGGTCGTCTCTGTCCTGCCCAGAAGAAGGTATGACAGCACACCTTTCAGTTATTATTATTATTATTATTATTATTATTATTATTATTATTAAGAAAATTATAGTTATTCACAAAAAATACATGAACACAATAGCCAAGTCTGCAACGTGACTCCCAGCCTCATCCAAAACAACAAAATTTTCAAAAATTTGATTTTGTGAATTGTTATTGTGTTAAAGAGAGTGCAGAAAAATGTACCAGTATAGTGGAAAATAAGAGGAAATAATTTGTGTACATAAGATGGTAAGAGCTCTGAAGTTTTGTCAATAATATTTATCAGAAAATCGAGCTAATCACAGTTTTCACGTGACTGTCGCGTATTTTTTTTATTTTTATTCTTTTGATAAGTTTAATGTTTGTTTTTCAAGCCAAGAAGTATGATAAACTGACCCAGTTTGCATACTCAGTCACCCCACATTTCTCCTACAAAGAGATAGTGGGCGCCACCGATGGGTTTGCAGACCACAACCTTCAAGGAAAAGGAACATTTGGAGAAGTGTACAAAGGCACTCTGAGGAAGACGGCATTTGCAATCAAAAGATTATTACAGGTATGAACATAATAGCATGCAGGGGGAGTATTGTGCTGTCACTAGGAAGCTATTTCATAAGGAGTCTTTGACTTAAGCTCAAAAAGATAGATGACTATGTGAAATTGACTTTAAATTAGTGGTATTGGTCTAAGAGCATTTTACAAAAGACTTGCCATGATTAATATAATAGGTTAGGTATCCAGATGGGATATTTTCACTACATAGAAAAAAAGACCATGCTACGATAATGACAATTTGTACTATGAGGCTGAGTTAAATTACACAGAAAGAAAAGATATTTCAGTGATGTCAGCTCTTCTCATTTAATTCCAGCAAAGACAGTTTGAAGGTGAGCAAGCACGCCAGAGACACCATCATATGGAGATTAAGTCTTTGCTCATGTGAGTTTATCCTTTTTGCCTAATTTCTGGCAATTACTACCATGAAAACTGACATATGCGATTATAATAGACTCTGTTATAGTAATGCACACATACTTGCTTGCTCTCTTTTATAGTATGAATTTGACTGCATAATTCATTGTAATTAGATTTATCAATTATCTCAAATAAGTCTTTTTGATTTTTTTTTTTTGGTATTAGCTAAACTTAAACACCTTGCATAATCCAATTTTTGTATACTTCAAACATATTTTCTGGTTCGAAAAGTTTCTACCGTTGTTTATAATAAATATTGGTCCAGACAAGTGCTGCTTAATAATTTGACTGAAATTGCCAAACTAACTCTTCCATACATGCCAAGTTCTTCAAAGTACTACAGTGCACCTATCTTGCATCTACTGAACAGAATTTGTTTACATTTCCACCTAGGTATCGCCATGACAACATAGTCCAGCTGATTGGCTACTCTCTGGATGGACCAGAAGTTTGCCTTATCTATCAGTTTATGGTCAATGGCTCCCTTGAAGATAGGCTGGCCTGTAAGGTGAGTTTGTAGGGAAAAAATCTGACCTTGACCTCACGGTCACCTTTGCCATTAATTCAGAATAATAGCTTAATGGCTTTATGGTAGACATTGTTTTTTTTTTTTTCACTTTTTTCCTGGATAAAAATTTTATTTAAGGCTTGAATTCCTCTTCAGGATGGCACTAAGCCCCTTTCCTGGCACCAAAGATGTTCCATATTGAAAGGAGCGGCACGGGGCCTCCAATACCTACACACTGCCCTGGATAAACCTCTCATTCATGGGGATGTGAAGAGGTGAGGCACTGGACGTATTTTTTTTAATTATTTATTTATTAATCTTTTTTTTTTTGGGGGGGGGGGGTGGAAGGGGGTCCATAATTTGTTTCTCCTTTATCTCCCGTGTTTTTGACATGTTCAGAATTGAATCCAACCTGATGAAACTGAATAAGTATTCAAGATAAAAGATTATTATTTTAGGCTCAGATGTATTTGAATGATGAAATAAAAGATGCAAAATGTTATGAAGATTCTGTAAGCTAATTTAATAGGTGAATTGATTATTTTCTTATCTCAGTGCAAACATACTGCTGGACAAACACTACGAGGCCCGTATTGGGGACTTTGGAATTGCTCAAGAGGCTCAGAAGGGGAGTGAGGGGAAATACACTCACATTACACAGCAAGATGCTGGTATATTTGGCTCTCTGGCATATGCGCCCCCTGAATTCCTTCGTAACTACCAGTTGTCAGTGAAGGGAGATACTTATGGCTTTGGAGTGGTACGTTTGTGACCTGTTGAGCTGTTGTCTTTTATAAAATCTTCACTGAAAGTTGTGATGGTGTTGTTAAATGAGATTATATATTAGTTTTTAGAGATAATTTCGGTTAGAAATTTGAGAATTATTGTTGAAAGTACACTTACAGCTAAGACTTAAGTTTGCATTTTCATGTCTTTGAAAACTGTACTACAGCTTTGTGATTTCTATATCGAGTTCATTATTTTGTTTTTTTTTTTTTTTTTGCAATTTTTAGGTTATTTTTGAGGCATGTTCTGGAAAACCACCATTTGAGGAAAAAGAACACAAAGGGAGACAAATGACAAAATATTTGGTAGGAATCAGATGCTGTTGATGACTATAAAAAGTCTGGGTTTTTCAATTAGAAAATGTTGAAAAAAAATGAAATTACATCATAGCAAAAATGATTTGGTTTTCTTAAAGTGTATATTTAAATTTTGTTTAGTAGAAAAAACAAATAGGTCCTTTAAATGATGTTACAGGATTTTTTTGCCTCTAGTATCAGATTTTAAAAAATCTGCTTTGTCATTTCTGACAAATCTTTCTCATATTTTTCAGAAAGATCACATGGGAGAAGTTTTGGACATGGTGAATGATGACAAAGAGTTGCTGAAAGAAAAAGACCACAAAGCTGCTAATTGGCCAGATGACATATTTGTTGAGCTCATGAAGCTGGGTCATTACTGCATTATGCCCAAGAAGAAAGAGAGGCCTGAAATGTCAGAGGTGTGGATTTTTAGTTATAAATTATAAAGTAAACTATGGCCATAGACAGTGAGGTGCAATGTCTGTTCAGTGTGATCTATTGTCCAGCGATCTTTTAATTTGGTCTAAATTTTTAGACCTAAGTTTTAGTCAACTTAAGTTTAGGTAATTTTATTGTTGGATAACTTAAATGAAATTGGGAGATTCAGACCTTGTTTTGGAAATGAATAAAATATATATCCCTCCATTCTTCCTTCTATATCAAAATATTTAATATAAAAGAATAAACCAAATAAAAAAGATAACAGAATAGAAAAGAACAGATCAGCTTAGTGTCACAGAATCATTTTTAAAACGTGCAAACGTGTACAAGTTTTTACTTCTGAAAGTTGAAGGGGAGGGATGCAAAAAAAAAGAAAACTTCAAACCCCCCCCTCATACAGTCAAACCTTACCCTAGGGACTACCAATGGCGGGACACATTTAACTTAAATGTGTACAGTTTGATAGTATTACCAGTAACTCAGTTATGACTTATGCGATGTCTTTATGCTTGTAAGAAGTACATCAAGTTAATAAATTGATGTTGTTTTCTTTGAAATCTCTAGGTTCTGAAAAGTTTAGAAGATGTAGAGCTGAATGTTCAAAAAGAGAAATACTTCCAACACAGGAGGTCTTCAAAGGGTAAATAAGAAAATTTTAGTTTTTTATTCAAGATTTTTATTTAAACTAAGTATTGTATCTTGCAACAGAATATTTCTCTGTCAATGCTTGTATGATGCAGTCAACAAATTCTAATGTGTTTAAAAATCAGATTTTTTATGTCAGTGTTTTTAAATAGAAACGATTTACTTAATGGTGTATTGGTAGCCATGGTGAACCCTTACTTTACTTGTAAGTTGAATTGTAAAAATGTTAAAATCCTTCTTTTTCAGAGGATGAAAAACCGGCTTCTTCTCACATGTCATATGAGGACACTTCAAGGTCTTTCCAAATGGACCACCATAGTTACGTGAACCCAGAGAAAAAGCTTCAGGAAGTTCCAGACTATGTAAATGAGAGCAGCATTACAAAGGATGCAGATGACCCAAATTTTTTCTACAGTGACCCAAAGAAATTGGCCGAAATAGAAAAGTTTGATCAGGGCAATATTTCACACTCTGCAGATGATGAACGTTTTTTGGCCTATGATAAAAAGAAAATTGGAGAAGACACTGTAGGTGGCAGCACAGGAGGTGGTCCACGCAGCATGAGCCCTCTTGAATTGCAAAAACAGTATGATGTTGCAAAGGAAAAAGAGACCCAGTCTGGAAATTTTGTTACAGCTGAAAAACGGCCTGGTCTTTTGAGAACTTATAGTCCATTACAACTCCAAATGAGTTATGATGCTATGAAGCAACATGGAGGTGCTAAGTCACTTGACGGACACCTGCAGGAGAAAATTGAAAAGAAGGCCACGGAAAATTCTGTCCCCACTTCACTGCCTGCACAGCCTCTCAAAGATGGACGAAAGTTGGAAGTTGAACATTATGAGAATATCCCTGTACACCATGACTATGAAAACATCCCAAATTTTAGTGAAATTCAGTTCAGCCAGCAGGGGGCATCACAGTCACCCCAACCAAGACAGTCCACAGCCAATTGCACTCCTGCTGAAACAACTAACAGATCAGAAATGGCAGTTGAGGAAGTTATGCCACGTAAGAAAAAACTACCCAAGGCATTTCAGCAGTATTATGACGAGGTTGCTGAATTGCAGAAGGAAGTCGAAAATAAAGATGCCAATGTGTTCTTTGCTGGTCTTGAGCAAAGTCAAAATTTTCGGTCACAGGCTGTGGGGGATAACCCAGAATATTACAACGAGGTTTGCCTCCAGATGGCACTGCAAGAGCACCAAGAAAGCCAAAGTCAAATAGGTGACATTCAACAATTTGAAACACGAGACACTGCTGTTGTGCAAAAGGAGGACAGCCAGCAGAGAGACACTGATTTTGCAGAAAAGAAAAGTGAGATTTTGGCCACAGATTCTACCCTGGCTGAAGCCCAGAGCATGGAGCATATTCAAGAGCATGTAATCAAAAGTGGGGACAAAACTGCCATTTCACAGCATCATCATTACACCAGCTGCATAACAGAGTATGTTGCAGATGAGGGATATGTGCAAAATCCTGCTTTGGGCTTGGTACATTTTCAAGATCCAGAATTGGGCTTGGAGTGCACTCAGCCAAGGTTGGGTTCGCCAGCAGATATTGTGGAAAATTTGAGACAGAGAAAAGAAGCACTCATGCAGTCGGTGCAGAAAGACTTACCATCGGTTACTGAAGACATGGCACGTATGACTGTCAAAACCAACACAACCAACACACCTTGAAAAAAATATTTTTATAGGACTATATTTATCTGCATTTTGATGTGAGAGCAGCATTTAGAGGCGGGTCTTGGATTTTGGAAAACTGTGTGTGTGTGTGTGTGTGGTGAGGGGGGAGTAGAAAAGGGGATGCCTTCAAAGCTTAGCAGAAGGGAAGGATGTACCTGCTGTGTCCCTTACTCCCCCCTCCCCCAAGCTACCACTGAGTACAAAGATGCTTCTAATGAACAGAACAGAGATACTAAATGCTATATTGGTGCTTTTGCTTTTATACAGCTATCTAATGAAGAATCTTATTTACAGGTTATTACCTTAACTGTGAATATATATATAATATTATATTGTTGAATGTATTGTTTATTTTTCTTAGAAAGATGTCTGTAATATTTTGATATCACTGTAATGTTGAAAATTAATAAATTGATAATAATGTGATATCATTTTAATGTAAGATGATTTTCTTGAGCAATAAGTGAAGATCATTGACATGATGTAGTTCAAGCAATAAAACTTCATAGCCTGATTTATTCATACTTTAATAATTGAAACATTTAGCCATGATCATAGTAAAAGGATTACCTTTTAAGTTAATAGGTTTAAATATATTGCAACTGTTTTAATTATAACTGTTACTCTGAATTGATGTTTTATATATGATTCCTGATAATTGAATGATATAATTGTTAAGGAGTAGATGTGGGGGAATTTGATTGAATACTTAGGATTTATGAAAATTTAGACAAAAATTGTCAGTTGTCATAATTTAGTTGTTGACAACTAACATTCTGATGTGTCACAAGTGCTTGTTAGTCTGAAAATAATCCTATCCAACAAATCTTAGATGACTTAAAAAAAAACCTTGGATCCTCTTTCAGAACTTTAGTCTGAAAGTTGGTATTAGCTATTATGCCAAAATTTTATACTTGTTCAGTTCAGGATAAATTGGTAATAGTCAAATGTTATTATTATTACATTGTAGTATTGGTCTTATACATGAAACATTTTCCTTGTTATAAGACGGGTCCAGCATGTCATTCAAGTGAATTACTACTGATTATTAGTATAGGGCAAAGAAGACCTACATTTTGATCAGAAAGTTTAAGCCAACTTACTTTTCAAAGTACATTTATAAATTAAATTGATCCTAGTCCATTTTGCGATACGGCCATCTACAACTAAGCTGTGCATCACAGATGTATGGTTAATAATTTGTCTCCACAATCCTCTTTTTGTTTAAACATGGTCACTTTTTAAGGAAAACATAGAAGAGATGCTCATTCTATTCTGTTTCACAATCGTGATTGAATCCAATTTAAGCTGGCCAATCAAATGTGGTATATATTATGCTTCCGTATAAAACACATTTTACTAAAATGGCGATTTGCCTCTAGTCAGTAGATATTCTACGCAGTTGTAGTAAACTATTATAGTATTATAGAATGATTAAGTTACTAGAAGTAGGCCTGAGTAACTCTTAGTGTCAAATAGATTTGGAGCTCATCATTTAAGCCTTCTTTTTTTGAGTGCCAACATAAATGTTAAATTTGAAGGAAATTTTGTTATAAGGAACTTGTCATTTGGTTAATTAATAGTTCATTTACAATTAAAAAACTTGCTTGTTAAAACATGAATGCATAATTTGGATTTGTCAGAGAATGTGCTTTTCTATAAAGGAACTCCAGAAATCAAAACCTGCCATTCTCTCCCTTTTGTTCCTCAAGCAATGTTAGAAAGAATCAGGTTGTCAA